ATGAAACTTGTTTGAAAATTAAAAACCAAAAAAAAAAAAAAAAAAAAAAAAAAAAGCTCACTTTTCCAAGTACATGAGACATCTTTAATTGTACTGAAATAAAATCTGAAAATCGGTCTAAATCAGTTTAAAAAGTAAACATGAGTTGTAATACTATACCTGTAGAGTGATTAATTCCATTCATTGTCATTAGAAAGTATGTAAAATATTTATTAAGGGCTTTGCCTGCAGAGGCACAACATAAATAGAACAAGTCCTCCTGAAATGTAATTAGTGTACACGTCAACCAGTTGGTAATTTGTGGTGGAAATGCAGGAACTGGAGCGGGGACCGGTTCCCACGTCTGAACTCGGGCAAGTGCAAGGACGAGGGCGCCCACCCTGGGAGCCACGCCATGCGCTGCTCTGCTGCCAGGTCTCTGCAAAGGTCTGTTAGGCAAATGCAAAAGTGCAAGCAGAACTTGCTGGACGAACAACCACCCCTGAGGCAGGGGGTGCTTAATCCACTCCTTCAAATCCTTGAGCATTTTCCACTGCCATGAGAAGTTTCTCTCGTAAATCCTCAAAGGTTTCATACGGAGGTAAGTCAAGGCGGTTAAAGCTGCAAGAAGAACAAGAAGCGTAGGTAGAAAGCCATCACTGTTACCCTTCAGGATAACAACACTTCCACGATATGGCTAACGGGGCCTCGAGTGACTGAGCAAGAGAATTTCAAGTCTTGGGACCAGCAGGTGCATACTGACTGCATTGCTGGACTCCCACGTAGTCAACCACAGTTTGAGTCTTGGACCCAGCAGCTTAAAGCTCATGCCGGGTGTGTGTGCATGTGTGCCCAAGATCCCTAGAGGAGAATGGAGGAGGGACTGTGGCGTGGCCATCCCCCCGGGGGTGAGTTCTTGTTTTATGTCTCTCCATCTCTCTCTGGCAAACACATGCGCCTTATGGCAAAAATCTCTCTAACAAAAAATAGGAGTATTAACAGGCAATTTTGATTATCAAGAAATAAATTCCAGCTACGAAGCTGTCCACACCAAGCAGGCTATATAATCTGCAGAGGGGAAAAGTGGTTTTCTAATACTCTGCTACACCCAGAGGTGCCTCTTGGAAGAGTCCTCGCAGGAAGGGAGAAGTGAAAGGCAAGTAACCGATACACACGCCAACTTTCCACAGCCTCGGAACTGCCAGCCTGTGCTCTGAGGACTCAGGGGTGAGTTGAGACTGCGTGTGTTTCGAATGCTGTCGCTTCTGAGTACGGCTCTGGCCACGTGCTGTCTCTACCAGTGCATTTTGTTTCCATCGGCACCCTGTGAGGTAGGTAATGCTATCTCCACTCTGCAGAGCCTGAAGTGATGGAAAGTCAAGGTGCCTGAGGTCACACTCCTAGTGACAGGACAGACCCAAGAACAGAACCCAAGCTGTCCGGGGCTCTAGAATGCCAGCACTAAGCACTAAGCTACCTCCTCTAACCAAAGTCCGGCACCTAAATGCCATGTGAAGTGAAAAGCTGCATTTATATCAAGTCCCTACATATCTAGAGCCTCCAGTTGGGGGGAGGGGCTGCACATCACCCTGGAGACAGTGAGGTCTCCAGACAGATGGACAGCATCTGTGGAAATCAGGCCCACTTACAGGACATATTCTGGCCCTGCCATTTGTCAGCTGGGCGACCTTGGGCAAGTCAGCCCAGCTCTCTGCATGTGTGTGCTCTCCCGCGAGACAGGAAACTGCTCATGCAGTTGCTGGGAGGACGCATTCCTCATACGGACATGGGCCTGGCACACGGCAAGTACTCAGTAGATGGGGATTGGGATTGACATTCATTCAACGTGTACTGAAAGTCTACACAGGGCTCCAGAGAATCAGCACCTCCAGTCCCAGAACCAGTGCCTGGGGCAGACTGCTGATGTGGACCTGCCAGGAAGACGGCCACCCACACATGCCTCAGCTAGTGATGATTTTAGAAGAGCTGCCCTTCAGGGCGGGGTCACATCCTGGTCAGCCTTGCTTCAGTACTGTGCCGGGACTACCTCGCTGACTCTGAGCCACAACCCTGTACGGTTGTTTCCAGAGGAGGAGCTTGAGTTACAGAGACGTTCAGTAACTTGCCCAAGGTCACACAGTAAGCAGGAGAGCTGGGTGCAGAAGCTGTCTGGTTCCAAAGGCCAGCTACTGACCCATGGTGACTCTGCCGTTGTATCCACAGTACACTGTCACATTTCAAACTGTCCCGTCCCAGCTCAGGAGCTAACATGAGCCACTGTGAGCAGAATGACGCATTATGCTTTAGATGCTGATCATCGTCAGCACTGTAAGACAAATACACGCCCATGGTGGCCCTTCAACAACTCCGGGGATGTTTGACACGGCTCCCTGAGTTCCAAGCAGATTTTGTCACTAGCGCTAAAGAAGGAAAGAGTAGAGGGTAACACTGTGCCTATGGACTGGAATTCTCAGATGTCCAGGAACCCTAAAGAGGAAGTCCTGAAAAAACATTTAACGTTGTCAATCTGATCCTGAAAACATATCTCTCCAGTTATAAAAGCAGAAGCCCGCCCCTGCAGATTGTACCCAAAAGGGCCTCGCACAGAGGGGCTCTGTCGTCTCTAGTCTTCCTGGGGCCTGAGATTCCCATCTGGGCAGAAGACGCCTTCGAGGGTCTGCAACATTTTTTCCCCTTTAAAAGATCTATCCACGGTTTGAGGTTGAGACATGTGGCTCCTGTGAATATCCATCACTAACAGTACTATGAACTGGGAGTTCTGTATCAGCACCATCAGTCCTGGGCTCCGCTCCATACTGGCAGCTTCTAAAATGAGGCTATCGTCCCCAGAAAAGCATATCTCACTCTGACACTGGAATCGAAGCTCTGAAATGCCGAAACACTCTCCCCCTAGAATGAAGGCACAGAACCGTGGACAATGGCGGTTCTGGAGAGGCACCAACTGCAGGCTGCCCTCGGTTGCTTTCAAAGATCTGACAAGCACTGACCATATTCATTCCATTCAGAGTCCTGTGAATGGTGTGAGTGGAGGACCAAAACACCCCTTCTAACAAGGCTAGGGAATCAAACAAGCAAAGAGCCGTTCACAGCCAGTTCTTCGCCAATGCCTTTGCATGAGCTCTCTCTCCCAGCTGGTGCTTCTAGTTTAGGGAGGGCGTTTCCTGTGGCTTATGTAAGCTCAGTGTGGTCGGAGCAGGCATGAGGGCCCTTGCGGCTGGGAGGGAAGCAGGGCTGGAAGCGGTGCTGCTCAGCATTCCCACAAGGCCACTCCTAGCATCCCCTAAGAGGCAAGGACAAAGAACCCAGGCAGGAAACCAACACGATGGGGTCACTGGCCGTGGATGAGCAAAAGCTCCCTGAACGTTGCTTTAAAAATTCACCGTTTCAGGATCAGCAGACGGTGTAGCAGTTATGTCGCTAGACTCCCACATGGCTGACCAAAGTTTGAGTCCTAGACCTGGTGGCTTGAAAGTCAAGCCAGGTGCATGTGCATGTGTGCCCAAGATCCTGGGAGGAGAAGGGATTGCAGCATGGCCATCCTCCCCCTGGGGAGCAATTTCTCACTTTCCCTCTCAGTCTCTCTCTTTGGCGAGCGCATAAACCCTAAAGCAAAAACCTCTTAAAAAAAAAAAAAGTAAAATGTGAAAACCCATTGTTTCACATCTGTGTTTGTGCTGAGATTTAAGTAACTCTTCGAGGGAAACTACCAAGACTCTTCTTCTTAGCCTGCCGGCCTGAGAAGGCCCTCTGTGGACAGCAACATGCATACTGTCACCCTGGGCCATGGGTCACTTGTTAGATCTCTTATACTCCCCCAGCCACAATCCCAGTGCTGCTAAAATCCAGGGAATTCTGGGCTATTGATGGGCACAGAAGGCCTTTGTGCAATGATGTTTCTACGGGAATTTGAAGCTAAGCTCTAAACAATTACTTTAAGGCTGGGGTACAAACCCGATCTGTTAGAGGTTGGGGCTGCCATATCCAGGCACGTGGAAGAGTGAAACCTCTGCCGTCTAGAGTCACGAGGAAGGAATGGGTTTGGAGGAAGTCCCCAGAGCACGGAGGGCTTAACCCTTCATATGCCGAACATACTGGGTACATTCAAATCTTGGTTTCAGTTTGACCAGGCTCACTGCACAATTTATATTTCAGCCTCTTGACTGTCGCTTTCTACACTAAGCTATTCAGGGGCAAGGAGTCCAGCGTCGTCCATAGCTAAGAACATAAAATACTGTTTATTGACACCACTCACCATGTGTGAGCTCTGGGCAGTTTTTCAGGACTGCCCCACTGCTCTATTGTAAACAGCTGAGGACCATTGGAACCTAGACGAAAAGAAAAAGAATCGTTAAGAATGCTTGAGATGGGGCCAGCTGGTGGCATGGTAGTTAAGACACCAGATTTGCACATAGCAGAATGAGGTTTGAGCCCCAGACCTGGCAGCTTGAAAATCATGCCGGGCGTGAGTGTGCAAAATCCCAGGAGAATGGAAGAGAAGGGACTGTGGCGTGGCCACTCCCCCAGGGGGTGATTTCTAACTTTCCCTCTCTCGGTCTCTCCCTGGAGAACACACATGTCCATATGGCAAAAATCTAAAAAAGTGCTGAGGCATAGGACAAAGCTACATGTGACTTGACGGGAAGGGAAGAAAGAGGGACCAGCCACTCTTCAGGCAAGGCTTGTCCTGGGGTGAGTCCTGAGACACTTGCTTTTGCTGCAACGTAACATTTCAAATTTAATTTTGGTGAAGCAAGAGGCCTACATGACCACACCACACGGACTCCGCAGTCCCTTCCGATGGACGTACGCCAAGGTTGACGGAGACGGCAACGGACGAAGTGCAGACGGGCACAGCCTCTCAACTGAACCCTGGGACTGGCACTTTAAAACTACTTTTGGAGAAAAACCAACAAAATGTGTGACCTTCAATATGCAGAGCAGGAGGAGTGCTTTTCAAATCTAGAACGAGCACACAGAGGATCCTGCCTCCCGGAAGTGAGTGTTTTACAAAATGAGCAACTTTATAACCACATGGGTAATACTGCAAAACCTAGCTTTTAAGGATACGCAGGAAAACTAAATTAGGAAAAAAAAAAAAGAGAAAGAAAAAAGAGCAGACCAATGTTATCTTTTCCTCCACAAACTGCCCTCCCATTGCCACACTCCGCAGTGTGACAAAGGTAACCACACAGATGGCTCGAGGTGGACACTGTAGTCTAGCCACACGAAGCAGTGGAACCATCTTGAACAGCAAACTGTGCTGCAAAGACATCCTGGCTTTGTGGAGATGCCTGGGAAGCAGAGCATTCTCGGGCCACAGTGGACTTGTGGCTAGAAGCCCCAGGAGGAGACCTGAATTTAACGGGACCCTGCTTACCATATAGCTCAGCAAATCCGTTCATAGGAACTCGCGACGTCCCTGTGACAAACTGCAGTAACCGGATGCGCTTCTCGGCGTCCATCAACAGCACAGCCTAAAAGAGAAGCAGAGAGTCATGACACCCCTCACGTGGCAGGTGGCACCAGCAGCAGTCATGTGGGCGGGCAGGTTCACTGAATCTTATGTTGACGGCCATGTCAGACCTAGAGAGCTCTCTCTAGAAACTGAGTAGTAGTAGTTTTTTTAACGGCTACCTCAACACTCGCTACTCCCATTTCAGAGTGATGACAATGTCTCCTTCTTCTTCCGCCAATGGCCCAAAATAAATGACATAAAAAGCGAACTCTCTGCTGGTGCTGAGCTCGTGTTTCTGTGGCTTGCCAGTTCCTCCTCAGCCAATTACAAATCCACAGTGTCCGAGGCCACAACACGAGCGAAGCCGGGTTACAGATGGGCTCTCATGTTGTTGACAAGTTCCCTAAAGGGAACATTTTATCAAAAGAAAGAAAACCAACCCAGAGGCAAAACTAGGCCTCTCAAACAACCTGTCTGTAAGTATTTGAATGATTACAGAATCATGCTGGGCTTTAACCTGTAGATACTTGAAATGTAAAGAAACAGGTCAAATCGAAGCTGAGATTTAGACTAGGATTTGAAGATGCTGCCTTTTATCTCTCTGTATTTTATTGGCACTTGAAATAATATGTCTGAGTAATGACAGTCATTTGGAAATTAATGACTATTATTTCTTTCTGGAAGTAATTGGCCCTTTTTTTGAATGTTTTCTTAGTTTATCATCACTCCCTGGGACCAACCCTTTCATTTCTATTTCACTTTCCTCCTAAGGTGCACGGGATGCAAACACTGGCCCTAAGACAGTAAATTGAGATTAATATGTATCTTTGGTTGAAAGATACAAAGATCAAAATGTTTGTTGGAATTATAAAACATTTTTGAGGGACCAGCAGTTAGCGTAGTTGCTATGTCTCTGGACTCCCATGTGGTCGACTGCAGTTCAAATCCTGGACCCGGTGGCTTAACTCAAGCCGGGTGCATGTGCGTGAGTGCCCAAGATCCCAAGAGGAGAATGGAGGAGAAGGGACTGCGGCATGGCCATCCCCCCTGGGGGGTGATTTCTCGCTTTCTGTCTCTGTCTGTCTTTCTGGCGAGCACATGCGCCCTAAGGCAAAAACCTCTCCAAAACAAAAACAAAACAAAACGTTTCTGAGAAGTGTATTTCTTAATGGAAAGCTGCATCTTGGAAAAGCCAGGCCCCCACACACTTATGCCCTGGAGTGTCCCATTCCTATTCTCATTCAGTCTTCAGGACTAGTTCTAGTCTTTTCTGCTGTTGTTGTTAAGTTTTTGCTATAGGGCGCGTGCGTTTGCCAGAGTCAGAGCGAGAGGAAGTGAGGAAGTAAGAAATTACTCCTCAGGAGGGATGGCCATGCTACAATTCCTTCTCTTCCTCTCCTCTCATGACTCTGGACATGCACACACATATGCCCAGTGTGACTCTCAAGCCGTTGGGTCTGGGACTTGAACTGGCCATGTGGGATGCAGTGCCAGTACTCCTAAAGCCAGTTACCTCCTATCAGTAGGGTAGGCTGAGTAGGATGGGCTCCTTGAACAAAAGCTGCTTTAATAAGATGGCCAAGAAAGGATAGCGAGTTTTCATAGGAGCAAACCTACTCAAGCCTAGCCCACCAAAGTTACAGAAAGACAACAGCCGGGCCACTCACTCCAGCTGCCTCCCCCTCTCCCTCTCCGATACCAGGAGACCCTGCAACCTTCAGCACCAGCCCTACAGAAAGACCATGCGAAGGGCCTCATGGAGCCCTCTTTCTTGACCCAGGTGAGGAATGTGAAGGACAGGGCCCGGGGCCCGGAGTTACCTTCCAGAACCACTGGATGACAGGGTGATTTGGACAGTAGCCGTTCTTGTAAATAGAGTGCTGCCGCCAGTCGTTCACGTCCACGTCACCGAGGCCGCACATCAGCAGCTGTGAGGGACATGAGCCCACGTACACGAGTCAGGGTGTGAAAGTGAGGAAGTCACATGGGGAGAAGTTACCTCTCCTCTAGGTCAGCATTCTGTCATCGCAAAGTGGATGGCCTAGCAGTTCATGAAGCCAAACAAGGGCGGACGGACGTTCCTAACCTGATCTGCCACAGAGGTCACAGAGACAGCAAAGACAATGAGGGGGACGGAACTCTAACCTCTGTACAGGGCCATGACTCTTCAAATGGGAAATAGAACACCACACTGGTCACCGTCCCCACCCTTCTCGTCCTCAGCACAGCGCTCCTGGGTGTTTCTGACACTGCATCGGCCACTTCCCTTCCAGAGAGGGGGTTTGTCTGAATATCTGAAAACCTCTGCCGGTCCACAAAGGAATCAATGCTTGTGACAGCGAGAAATCACCTCTTCCAGATCAATCAATTTGGTTGATGATGAATCACTGTCTGTCCAGAGGTCTGGGGACTGGCATGTGTGGAGGCAGTAACTGGTTCTCTGACTGTCACTCAGTCTAAGATTTGCTTTTCTGACACTGTAACCCTCCAACAGAGAAGGTTTCCTGTGGATAAACGAATATGCTATTCCTGCAGTGGTACTCAAAGAGCTGAAAAGGGAACTAAACTAGAAGAACCCAGTTCCTGACTATGCTAAACCCTTGCTGGGCAAACCTGTGAGGTCATTAACTCTTGCCTCAGTTTCTCACCTTTCAAATGAAAGGCTTGCGGGACCAGCAGGTGACAAGGTAGGGTGTTGGACTCCCACATGGCTGACCACAGCTTGAGTCCTACACCTGGCAGCTTGCTCTCTCACTTTCATCCTCTCTCTCTCTCACTCTGGCCCTCTCTAGTCAAGTTAAAATAAATAAAGATAAATAAAACAACTCTTTAAAAGAATGAAAGGCTTGCATTACGTGATTTCTATGACATCATCTATCTTCAAGTTTCCCTTGTTGGATAAAAGTATAGGAAGCAGCCTATGATAAAGGCTTTTTTGGATGTGGCTTGAACAAGGGCTGAGTCAATTCAACAGTCTGTTAGCAGACACAACCTTCCTTGAACTTCTCTCGACAAAACAAAGGGTGAGATACTCCTTTGGATTTTCAACTGCTATCTCCAATCTACACCAATGTCAAGAAGCTAAAACAGATGACCATTAAGCCACCTACGGCTTCGAGACCTTGTTTTTCTGTACTCCACATACACCACTTCAAGTTCAATGTAAGACACCCATCCCACTGCTCACAGCCATCTGTGGTCAAGGCCACCAATACGGCTGCCATGGTGGGGTTGGCGAGGCAACACGTGACGCAGGGTCAGCTTGGCCTGGCGAACAGGCTGCTGAGGCGAGGACTGCTAGCAGTTGAGGTGGTGATTTTTCTCACCTGGTGCACAGGGCCACAAACCTGGCCCAGCTCTGCAGGCCTTGGCTTCCCTGGTGGACCTAGAACCACCCTCTCATGGGTAAGCACAGATTTGCTCTTCCTTACTCCCACATCAGTGAACGAGCCCAAGGGACATGCTACAGAACTCGCCCACCCTGACTCCCTGGACATCACTGAAAAGACAACACTAAAATGGCATTTGTAAAAGTAATGAAGGATTCTTTACATGAAATCATGTGGATCGTACAAACCTCCAGCTCGTTTTCATCAAAAATTTTAATCAAATCAATAGGAAGCAGTTCTGTGAATCCCTAAAAAGAAAAAGGAAAAATCACCCTAAGTACATTATTCCATGAAAAAAGACCAATTTTAAAGGAAAAACGAAGTTTTAATTAAGCTAGGAAAAATGTATTCGCTACTGGTGATTCACTGGTGACAGTATTAACTACAGTTTCACAAACACCAGCAGAGTCACAACATGGACGTTTTGGAGAACGGTAGAATCTGGAAGGTTGTGATACTTGAGCAATATGTGAAATCCTCTAAAATACAGGACCCTGCAGGCAGGCAGACTGTGAAAGCATTAATGACACTCGGCTGTGAGTCAGGGTATCCTAAAACGCACAGGCCCCAGATGTGCAAGAATGCATTTAAAAATAGTGTGCTGAAGGCCTGAGAAGAAACACGCAGGAAGGCGGCGTGACTGGGTGGAGGCTTTGGGACCGCAGCAAACGGTGCCTGGCACCCAGGCCACCACCGAGCAGAGGAGCAATCCAGGCAGACTCTCACCCACTGGACCTTGCTGCGGCTGACACTGGGTTTTGGAGTGTGGGCCACCTTGGGATGTGCTTCCTGGGGTTTCTTAAACCAATAAAGTGCGAAACTTGCTCCTTGTCAAGCCTGTCTTCACGTTTCATGTCCCAAAGGTGCTGCACTTTTCTGAGTGCTCTGCCTGGGCAAGGGCTTTATTTATTAAATGTGGGTGACGGAGCTAGGAGCAAGTTTAAGGGCATTGCCCAAGGAGACGGGGCACCGGCTCATAGGACATCAATGATACGGCCTTGGGGTTTCTTCCTGCATTACCTTGTAAGTAACCAATACTGCTAACCAATTAGTGGATTTAAAAAGGAATTTCACTTTTGTTCAAAAGGAAACAATTTTTAGAATGATGAGGCTGGGAGTCTCATAAAAAAAAAAATGTGTGTCTGGGAGGTGTGCGCTTCACTCCTTCATGGATGGACGTCGGTACAAGGTGCTGGGTGTGCAGTGAGGACCTGGCTTAAATGACGCGCTTTCCATGTACTCGAGTAGAGAGACTCTCTGGTGGGCAGAAGAGTAAAACAAAACAAAAACAATAACAAAAAACAACCCAGCCACTGAAGGGGAAGGGCTGCTACAGGAGGGGAGGCCTGATGGGAAACTGCCTTTCTCTGGGGGGGGGAGGGCCATATCCTCAGACACCTGGAACCTGCCACTCCACCTTCACTCGGTAAAAAACATCCTCTTTAAAAACAATTAAGGCAAATTTTTAAAAAAGTAAGATAAGCCTGAACATGCTCCACTTTAAAAACATAATTTGGAGGGGTAGCTGAACACTCCTGCCCCAGGGCCAGTCACAAGATGTGTGCTGTGCAATTGTGGCCTCCAGCAGCGGCCCACGTCCACCCGTCCTTCAAGTGCAATCAGTCCCACCCAACTGCCCAGGGGTGGCCGAGGAGCCTCCACCCAGGACTGAGCTCGGGCAGAGGCAGGGCAGCCAGCTCACCTCCAAGAAGGCGTTCATCTGCTTCTGGACTCTGTTCACGAACCGCCACTGGATGACTAAGCTGAGGAGAAAAGGGACAGCAGTGAGCCTCCTCCATCGTCCCTCACAGCTGCCTCCTGCACAACCGTGACAGCTCTTCCTCAGGCAGGGGAGGAGAGGAGCCCCCGTGAGGGCACAGCAAAAGGGGGCCTACAGCCAGGACCCCACTGCTTACCCACAGATTCTTTTGAAAACCACTGGGACATCTGTAGAAACTCTAAAACCTCACTGTTCACTGAAGATTTCAAAAGAATAGCTGACTTCTTCCCCCTGCCTCCTGATCAAGCCCTAGAGGAACAAGGTTGCTTTATAAATGTGGGTATGTGGAAAAAAGAGAGAAGGTCATGAGCGGGACCAGGAGATGGTATAATGGTTATGTCGCTCGACTCTCACATGGCCGACAGCAGTTCAAGTCCCAGACCCAAAGGCGTAAAACCCACACCAGGGCGTGTCCAAAATCTAGAGAGGAGAACAGAGAAAAAGGGATTGTGGCATGGCCACCCACACCAGGGGGTGATTTCTTGCTTTGTCTCTCTGTCTCTGTCTCTCCAGCTTGTGTACATGCTCTATAGCAAAAATCTCTCTTTAGAGAAAAAAAAAAAAAAAAAAAAGAAAAGGTCCTGGGTGTGAATTCAGAGTGATGTATACATAATACGTACACACGCCCGTGTACACGGGTAAATACAGACATGCATGTGTAAAGAATGCCCAGTATGATGGGCTTCGTTACATGATATTTCATTTTCATGTCCAGTGTACTGATTTTTACTAGTGACACATACATTTTACCAGTGAAATGATTTACACTAATACTGTGATACTCAAATTGGGAGGTGGAGCAGTAGATCCTCTTAAACAGAAATTCTTTGAAACCATTTCCCCTGTGACAGTGTTTGGTGAGAGCAGGATGTTTCACAAGGCAGATCTACTCTGGCTTTCATCAAAGGTGTCACATTGCCATGGAGAGAGGGGTCTCATGGCCATAGGGCATCGTGGCTGGCAACGCCATGGCACCAGCCCCCACATGCCTGCCCATCGCAAAACCACCGCTCAGCTGGGCCAGGCTGTCTCGGCAGAGCACTCCGGCGCCAGGGAGCACAGGTGTCCAGGAGCAGGTGGGCAGTTCACATTTGTTCCAGGGAAGCCAGCTGAACCCTGGCCTGCCCTGGTCCCCGAATTTGAATCCTAAAGGGATTAACTGCAAAGAATGATGCGTGACACACATCACAGATGTCAGGTCCCTCAGACTGCAGACCCCAGTCACCCTGACTGCAGTGTTTTTGGTTTTGTTTTTATTTTTGCCAGAGGGCACATGCACTTGTGGTGGGGTGGGAGTGAGAGAGAAAGCATCCCCCAGAGGGGACGGCCATGCTGCAGTCCCTTCTCATTTCTCCTCTAGGAGTTTGGGCATGCACACATTCCCAGTGTGTTTTTTTTTTAAGCTCCCAGGTCTGGTACATGAACCGCACAGTCGGCCATGTGGGACCCAGCCCCCGTCGTCACCACACCACGGGCTGGGCTGCTGGAGTGTTTTTCAAAAAAAAAAAAAAAAAAAAGAGAAAAGGTCCTGGGTGTGAATTCAGAGTGATGTATACATAATACGTACACACGCCCGTGTACACGGGTAAATACAGACATGCATGTGTAAAGAATGCCCAGTATGATGGGCTTCGTTACATGATATTTCATTTTCATGTCCAGTGTACTGATTTTTACTAGTGACACATACATTTTACCAGTGAAATGATTTACACTAATACTGTGATACTCAAATTGGGAGGTGGAGCAGTAGATCCTCTTAAACAGAAATTCTTTGAAACCATTTCCCCTGTGACAGTGTTTGGTGAGAGCAGGATGTTTCACAAGGCAGATCTACTCTGGCTTTCATCAAAGGTGTCACATTGCCATGGAGAGAGGGGTCTCATGGCCATAGGGCATCGTGGCTGGCAACGCCATGGCAACAGCCCCCACATGCCTGCCCATCGCAAAACCACCGCTCAGCTGGGCCAGGCTGTCTCGGCAGAGCACTCCGGCGCCAGGGAGCACAGGTGTCCAGGAGCAGGTGGGCAGTTCACATTTGTTCCAGGGAAGCCAGCTGAACCCTGGCCTGCCCTGGTCCCCGAATTTGAATCCTAAAGGGATTAACTGCAAAGAATGATGCGTGACACACATCACAGATGTCAGGTCCCTCAGACTGCAGACCCCAGTCACCCTGACTGCAGTGTTTTTGGTTTTGTTTTTATTTTTGCCAGAGGGCACATGCACTTGTGGTGGGGTGGGAGTGAGAGAGAAAGCATCCCCCAGAGGGGACGGCCATGCTGCAGTCCCTTCTCATTTCTCCTCTAGGAGTTTGGGCATGCACACATTCCCAGTGTGTTTTTTTTTTAAGCTCCCAGGTCTGGTACATGAACCGCACAGTCGGCCATGTGGGACCCAGCCCCCGTCGTCACCACACCACGGGCTGGGCTGCTGGAGTGTTTTTCAAAACCTACTTCCAGTCTGTGTTTGCACAGGAGGGCAATGTTTTCTGCCAGGGTGTCATGTACTATGCCTGCCTGAGGCCAGGACAAGCATGCCGGTGAACACGCCACGGAAGGACGGCATCTTGCTTCTGGTTTACGCATTAAGCACCACGAGCTTCCCACTTGACAGTGTGAGAAGGTCTGCCATGTGACCGTAACTTTCTTTTTCTCAGGGTCTCCAAGTAGAGACGCCAACGCTTTTCATTTTCTCCCTAATGAAGGGCGGACTGCAGGGTTTTCTTTGCAGATCACATGAAAATATGCCAAGACTCGGGAACCAGCAGTTAGTGTAATGGCTATGTCGCTGGATTCCCACGTAGTCGACCGCGGTTCGTGTCCTGGACCCAGTGGCTTAAAACCCACGCCGGGCGCGTGTGCGTGCGTGCCCAAGATCCTGAGAGGAGAATGGAGGAGAAGGAATTGCGGCGTGACCATCCCCCCTGGGGGGTGATTTCTCACTTTCTGTCTCTATGTCTCTCTCTGTCTGTCTGGCGAGCGCACGCGCCCTACAGTGAAAATCTCTCCCCCCCCAAAAAAAATGCCAAGACTCTTGGCCACTTTTTTGAGTTCAAGACCTCTGACCAATTTCAGATGAGGAGAAAAACCAGATCATTGAAATGGAGCATCGAATGCAAGCAAGGGCTCGGGGCACTGCTGTAACCTACACGATGACAACGAGGACCCAGCATCAGCCACTCTGTAATCGCCTTCTCCCACACCAGGGAGAGGCCAGCGAGGGCGACCTGGACACCCTTGGAATACCCCAGAACTGCACGCTGGAAGGGCATACATACAAAGAAAATGTAATGTGCCCCAAATAAAGAAAGACCTTTCGTTCCAACTGGTCTAGGCCTGCTAGACTTCCAAAGGGTCTTGGTTTAGTTCTACCAACTGAGGCTGAGACCGAGTTATGAAAACTAAAAATTACGTTCGCACGTGCTCAATTTCTCCTGACAATTTTCACTACTTCCGTACGTTTTCATTATGGAAAAGGAGAATGATGAAATATCTTATCATTGGTGGTTCCTAATTTTACCCCGCTGCTCATCGACACCGCGTTCCATTTTGCAATTCAAAATTTTGGGTGAGATATTCGCATACTCTTAACCGGTACTCGCCACAGTACTCAATGATGTACACCTTTCTCCCTCCTCGGCTCCCTCGTGTGGCGGCTCACTGAAGCCAGGACAGAGGGCCATCTTCCCACCCCACATTCAACCTCCCATCAGCCCAAGCCACGAAGAGACTCCTACAGCTGAACACTCCAGTAAACTCACGCCCATAATGAGCTGCTTTGCAAAGGACATCAACCGATTACACTGTTCAATCTATTAAAAGAGAAGGTTGTAAATATGTGTATACGTACTCAATATATTCCCTTTTGTTTTCATTTGTCACCATTATTTCTGACCCATTGGGCTTCAAATCCACTTGATACGTCTGTAATTACAAAATAAAACAACAGTCACCATCACACAACTATTCTGTATATTATTACCGAGTAATAATGTCTTACCATGGAAAAGAAAATAAGCAAAACATATTCAGAAGTATTTCCCAGAAAATGGGTTCGGTGTATAAGAGAATGCCTAATGAGGCTTTTAAATTGTTAAGATGTTATGCATTTAAAGATGTGATCATTAAAGGCAAATTATTTTATGGTTATTTATGCATTTTAATTATTCCTCATACATGAGCAATAATGGAGAAGAGCAACATTTTTTCATCTGCTATTCATTTCTCAAGAAATTAATTATGTTTAACAGAGAACAGGGTATATCCATAAAGATGATTTACAGAGATCCCAATTCTAAAGCATTTTATAGGTTTTTGAAAATTAAACCTTATAGCCATAAATAAAGGACGTATGAAATTTCTTTCAACAAGGCACAACACAGGGACTTAAAAGCAAGAAGCTTGCAAAGTCAGGTTGGAGAGACGGATTATCTGCCTTCTTAAGAACCACAGATGTTATTTCCATCGGGACACATCTCTGCTCATCAGCCCCGACTGCTCTCCCTTTTACAGCCCCGACGATTATAAACAAATAAAGCTGCTCTCCTCTACTGAAACCCAACCTCAGTGTCATAGCCTTCTGTATAAAGCAGTAACTAGCCCAGGGGAAGGGAGAGAGAGGCCTGCCATGAAAAATAAATGGTCACGCTCATGCTAGAAATTCTGGGGAAAGCAAGGTGGAAAAACACCTCCCACAACTCCTCTCTCAAAAGCCACATTGACAACTGGTGAGTTCCCTTGTGGTCAGACTCTCCTCCTGTCCCCACACCAGGCTGTAATACAGAGCACACCAAGCCTGGGGGAGAGGCTTTTCCAAAGTGGAGTTACACCCACAGGGAGGGACGCAGGTTCCCATCTGTGACAGAACCTTTGCTTTGGCAGGGGTACTCGCAGTGAGCCCCTCCCACCCTGCCGCACACCCAGAATACGGAGCCTTTCTGATCCGAATCGCCACATCTTGCTCATAGCCATTCGCCTTCTCGTGTACCCGACTCTTGTTCCTATCCACACTGAGAGCTTTTCCAATCCGAAGACACTCATCACTACCCATTCTTTACATTTTCTTGTGTGGCTTTTCCCTCTTTATTTGGGAGAGATCTTGTTTCTCCATGAGATGGAACCCCATTTTCTTTTGTAATGGCCAGAACCCTATTTTCTACAAAGACAATTTAACTCCTCATTGTCCCTGTTAGTGTGTTTTCGGTGTTCAAGTCGCCCTCAAATCTGCCCTGTTCCCCTGTCCTCTGCCACCCCCTCAACTCATCCCGCCTTCTCCCGGTAGTGCTCTGCTCCTGCTCTGGACCGGCCCTGTCAATGCCGAGGAGTGAAGTGGGGACGTTTCCTATTCTAAAACATGCCCAAGTGTTAGTGTGCTCATTTATACCCTCTGTAGTATTTTTAAATAAGCCCCACCTTGGTTTTTCTCTCTCTCCGTTTACCCCTCCTACAAGCTCACCCGGCTGAGGGTCAGTCGTGGAGTTTTCCTATCAGACCCACGCTGACCAGGTCATAAAACCGAGCCTGGTTCTAGGTGAGAAGGCTTTCAGTGGCGCTCAGCTGGGACGTGCTCTGTTCTGCCGTCCTTCCCCCATGGGCTCTGCTGTTCTCTCGGCAGGTGAAGTGAGTAAGTAACCAAAATGCCCACCGTGCTCGCTCCTTCCAGAACCCCTCCTTTCCTCTTCATTTGTTTATGGGCCTCCTTGGGAGCTGTCTGGGAACTGTGATTTCCAGAGACCTCTTGAACGAGAGGATGAACCACAGCCGAGACAGGGAAGGGAGGAGGAGGGAGAAGAACTCTAGTGCCTTTAGAAGCAGCACCAGTGGGAAAGAGCAAATGAAGCCTGCATTGCTGAGGATAGAGGAACACCGTGTTGCTGCTGGCTGGGGGGCTAACAGGTCAGGCATTATGGAAGACCACATGGCAGTGGCATCGAGCTTCTAGTACACAGATCCCTTTTCACAGTAGCTTTTCTTGAGAATTTATACTGGGGGGGGGGAGGGAAATTACTTAAGTACACAAAATGGGGACTCCAGGATTTACATGAGTCATCTGTTCCAAATATGAATATTCTAGGAGTCTATGCTTATACAGCAAATACCAACACAGCCTAAATCCCTACTAACAGGGCATGGTTAAAAATACATGGTGCGGGGGCCAGCAGGTGGCATGGTGGTTAAGGCGCTGGATACTCCCACATGGCCGACCATGGTTCGAGTCTCAGACCTGGTGGCTTGTTTTCTCACTTTCCTTGAAAAACATGCCAGGCAGATGGGCACACCCACAATTCTGAGAGAAGGATAGAGAAGGGATTGTAGTGCAGCCATTCCCCATGGAGAGTAATTTCTTACTTTCCTTCTTTCTCTCTGTGTGTGTGTCTCTCTGTCTCTCTCCAGCAAGCACATAGGGCCTATAGCAAAAACTAAAAAAAGAAAAAATATATTGTATGCATATGCTTACAGAGCATAATTCAGGAAGACAAAAATCTAAAATTTAATCATAATTTTTCTTGAGATAATAGGAATGACAGCTGATTTTTACATATTTTATATGTTTATATATTATCATACTGGCTTTGTTTATTACATATTATTACTTAATATCAGATAAACTAATACAATTATTTTTTGAGAGAAAAACAGAGGACATGCTATCCATGCTAAATAATGCAGTCACAAGCAATAAATCAATCTGTGGGCAGCCCTCCAGTTTTATAGTTCATTCTGATCATGGCACAAGTGTCCCCACATAGTGGAGAGGGGAGCTCTGAGGGGTGGTTTCAGTCCTGAGCCTGTGTTGGGGTAAACCCCCAGATCCAGGTGTTACCTCAGCGAGGAATTCCCACCTTTCTGGGTTTTTCACAAACCATTTTTTTTGCAGGAAGCAGTGACCACTGTTCAAAGTGAACTTTCTAAGCTAGCTGCCAGGAGCTGACTGCAGACTGTGTCCTGTGTTCAGGCCCAGCCAGTACAATCATATATACATATATAAACTATGTCAAAATCCGCTATCATTCCTATTATCTCAAGAAAAATTAGGATTAAATTTTGGACTGTATCTTCCTGAATTATGCTCTGTAAGCACATACATACAGAAATTTTTTTCTTTTTTTTAGTTTTTGCTGTAGGTTGTGTGCTTCCTGGAGAGAGACGGAGAGACCTGGAACTCCCAGGTGAAGTCACAGGCTCACTGCCCCCAGGCAGGTGTCATCGTGTCTTTTCTGGGAGCCTGGGGCTCCACAGCAAGTGGAGAGCGCCGGGTGCAAGGCCGAGGTTGCCCAGCTCCACAGCTGGGCTGTGCCTCGGTTTCTCTAGCAGCCCTCTCTCTGTGCTGGAAACATGTGACTCCTGCAGGTGGCATGGTGGTTAAGGACACTGGATTCCCACAAGGCTGACCACGGTATGAGTCCTGGACCTGGTGGCTTGCTTTCTTACTTTCCCTCTTTTTCTCTCTCACGCTGTCCCTCTCTAGTCAAATTAAAACGAATGAATGAATAGAGTTAAATAAAATAATTCTTTAAGTTAAAAGTGAAAATATTTATAGGTACATTTTTTACATGGCTTTAAACAATTTTGTTTTAATTCAACCTTTTTGATTCATGTGGCTAAGCTTTGTATTCGGTAGAGGTCAAGTTAGAGCTCATAATAAAATAATTGTTAATTAAAAAAGTTGGATGCCATTGCCAAATGGTCTTCCGTAAGGACTGACCTGCTAGCACCCCCACCCCTGCAGCTGTGTGCCTTTCCTCTGTCCTCGGTAAGGCTTGTGTGCTTCCTGTTCTTGGTGGAAGCGTTGCTGGACAAGACCTGTCTGCTGACAGACACTCACAATCCCTGTGGGGTCAGCCAGCACCCTGCAGGGCCTTCCTGTGGACCCCTCCCATTCCACTGTCTCTGCTGTAGTGGCCGGGCCCTCCTCTAGCTACCCATACCTCTCCTGTCAAAGCAGTGTGCGGACAGTCTGAGGAGCTGGCTAGGTCTCACCCTCCTAATTCAAATGTCCTTAGTGCCCTCCATCTGACAGTTTCCTTGCCCTGATCTTGGGGAGTTGGGGTCTCTGTCCTCAGGAGCCTCATCCACCTCCAGGCTCTCTGTCTGGGTCTTCCTGGCCCCTGCAGGACCTGCTGCCCCTCATGAGCTCACTCTCCTCAGTTGCCAGTTTCTGTCTTTTCACTCCCTCCCTTCCCTCAGCCACATGTTTCTCAACTCTTTTCTGTTCACGGTCACACCCAAAGACGGCTTTTTAGATCACTGCCCTCTGCACCCATGACCCACCTCCCTCCATGAAATGCCGACAAATGGTCACATTTGGATTGTGCACTGTGCCCTTTGGAAGGTCATCAGCCACCGAACTTTACAGGGACTTTAAGAAGAACCAATTTCTGACCCCTTAGGGTGAGCGTCTGTTGAGAACGCAGGCCTTAACTGCTATGCACCCGGCCCTGAGCTTCCTCATGGCCGCCCACTCTCCCCACTCTCTTTCAGCCAGCTTCTTGGAAGCCCACACTTCTAGCCGCTCTTCAAAACAACCAGATCAGATGCTGCTCTGTCAGACTTGCAGTGAAGAACTGTTTGGCTCTCACAGGCCCCTCCTCCTGGCAGGCAGAGGGGTGTGCGTACGTGTGTTCACTAGTGCATAGGGGAATGGCTTATTCTTCCTGCTCGGCATGAGGCAGCCTTTTAAATATTGATACTTCTGCAGTGGGAACATTCATGTCAGGGCCCAGCAGCTCCAGATCCTCGTGGGCCAGAGAGAAAGTGATTCGCAAAATCATGGCAACAGCTGCAGCTCTCCTACACAAAGCAACAGCTTACCAACTTCATGGTCTGATATTTCAAATTGTGAAATGAAAAAAAAGGGCAAAAAAAATTCAACAAAACAGCTCAAACTGTGTGGGACGGCCAACTGCTCTCCCCTGGATGGCCACTTCGCCCTGGGGCAACAGTGCTTTGTCCCGTGGAAGAAATGCCTGCGTCTTTGGCACAAGCCCTGGATAGGCTCCACTTCCAGTGGCTCCGAGCGCCCACTGCTGGTACGGGAGCATACGAAGGTAAGCCAAAGGTAGGCACATGGTGGCCGTCACTGCGATGGAGCCTGGTGGGAGACACAGGCTAAACGCATAGTCAGAGAGACACACAGCCATCTGAGGGACATGCCACAGGAAAGACATGGAAGGTACTCTGAAGGATGGGGTCCAGGACAAGGGCCAGCTTCCTTAGGGAAAGGATGTCTGAGATGAGGAATGGAAAGGACTATGTCCCCAACAGAAGGAACAGTGCCAGCAAAGGTCCTGAGGCAGGAGGGAACGTCGAGAGTTCAAGAAGCCTAGTGGGGCCAGATCCAGAAAGCTCCAGTGACTGGTTTGTGGTGCAAAATGGGCCTAGAGGAGAAGCAGGCAGGGCCAGGCCAGGCAGGGTCTTCTGGGACGAATTAGGAATTTGAGTCTATCTCAAGGACAGTGAGAAGCTCCTGAAGGTGAAGAAACGACATTCTGGAAAGAGCTCCTGGCCATTACAGGAGGCCCCACTGGATATAATGAGACCAGTTAGGGGCCTGGCTGAGAAGATGGTGGCTGGGCCTTGGGTGTTGGAACAGGTAGGGATAATGAAGAAATGTGGGAAACACCCAGGAAGTACAATGCTCAGAGCTAGGTGATAGAACGGATATGGGGAAGGAGAGCAATACATGGCTGCTTCCTTTGCTCTTAATCCCTTCCCAGAATGCAAAGTAGACATGTCAGTTCCCTGCTAACCAGGTTAGCTCTCTGAGAAGGGAAAGCAGTCATTTAACTCTACTGGGTTCTACCTACAAGTCAGGCAAAGAACTCATGGCATTAAATGAGCAGCTTAGAGAGCTGTTCTTAAGGAGTAAGTGGCCTGAACTACGTGATAATCAGTATCTTTATTGGAAATCTGCTTCAAAATCCAAACATCCTGTGTTTGGATTTCATTTATTAGGTGGAAGTAGTTCAGCATTTAACTGCAATTAAGGAAGCTTTTCCAGACCCTTTCTTGTAACTCTGGCATTGCTAATAGTTTCCTGATCTGCGTTATTTAGGTTGGCCACTTAGTTTTCTACAAAGTGGGTACCAAAAGACACGATTTTATGATGTCTATTACACACAGATGGTCAGTCTCCCTTGAGCCTTCATTTCTACTCTTTCCTTCATACGTTAAAAAAGAAAGGAAGACGGTTCCAGGATGACTACCCATGTGTTATCTCTTGAACACAGCCAGTTAAGACCCTTCGACAGGGACAGAGGTGACATGGTGTTAAAGGGGCTGGATCCCACATGGCTGACTCCATGGTTTGAGCCCTGGACTCGGTGGCTTAGAAACCATGATGGGCGCCATGTGCAGGAGGGCGTGGTGGTGATACCGATGAGGCCAGAGCAGAAGGGGTGTGGTGAGGAGGAAACGGCGTTAGTGCTGGGACCCAGGGCCTTTTAGGAGGTTATCTAGCCCACAGGAGATAAAGAGCTGGAGGTGGGTAGAGGGAATGTCGATGGTGCGACAGTGGGCAGGAGGCCATCAACTAGTGTGGGTGCAATGACACAAGCAGCAGGCAGACAGCAGGTGACAGAGGGACATCTGTGAATGCAAGACCATAGTCTTCAAGGAGACTGAAAATCAAGGCTCAAAAGCTGAGGAAGGAACCAGGGTGAAAGGTGCTGTGACTCACAGGCCTCCCCAGAGCTGGGGGTGTGAAGGGTCTGGATCAAATGCAGAGGGAGACAGAGAGAAAGAAGGTTGGGAGACAGATATCCATGAAGTTAGTCCCGGGGGGCTCTGGGTGACCTGGAGGGAGCGGCAGCAGGAAAGACCTCTTTCCACCCAGCCCATGCAGGAAGGCAAAGCCCATTGTCTGTGAGAGTCCAAGGTACAGAGTTCAACACAGAGCAGAGAACAAGCGAGGGATTGAGGACAAAAGGAGATTTTTAATGGATTCGTAATCATCTACCAGGAAGGAAAACACAGATTCCCAAATCCCACCCACTTCTGGGACTCACGGTAGTGACGGGTTTCCTGGCTTGGATACATGACATGATAACAAGTGATTCTGACATTTATGTGAACATTTTCTAATTTCACACCTTTGACCCTAGCTGTCATTAATTCCTTTACATCTAGTGGCATCAGCTTCTTTTCTCTGAGATTCTCTGAGATTTCTCTAACCCTGGCAGGCAGGGACCTGTTGTGCAACTTCACTAAGAGCGTAGCCCTGTGACACGTAGAGACGTCGATGCAGTTCTTGACAGTGAAAGGCACATCTGATGATCTCGGAAACAGTAAAGAGCACAGCTATTTCATTTCCCACAAGGCGACCCTTAAGGTAGGTTCAAAGATCTCACTAATTTCACAGCCACGTAGGTGTGGTCCGAAAGACCGAAGGAACCTTCTGTGAAGGACCAGGTAGGGGGTCAAATAACACATGACGACACCTCTCCCAAAGCATCATTATTCTGAGGAACAAAAGAGTCAAAGGTTTCAGACTTAAGACAAAGACATTTCACAGGCCCTCAGGACAAAAATCCCAAGCAGGCAACTTGATCTCTCAAATTGCCTTCTATAATTAATCCAGCCTGGCGTGGCACTGTGGGGGCAAAACAAGAAGAAATGGCAGAAACTCCTGAGCCCTAGAAGTCAAATAATCTGAGCCTCAGAAGACAGACTTCACTAACAACAGAACCACACAGCAGAGACAAAAAACTGATGCCCCGGACACCATTCACTGTCAGTACCACTGCGTAAATCATTGCACCATTTCTAAATTCTAAAACCAAAGTACAAACGAAACACCCAGATTTGAATTGGCGTTAGATTAGGAGGGGGTGCTAGTTCAGAGAGGTCTCCTAGAATTCCTTTAACTTTGTCGATTGTGATCAGGGTGGAACTAGGGACCCAGCTTCCCGCCATGACCACAGGTGCAGACAGAAGCCCTGAAAATCAACATCTATGGCGCCTCTGCTTGTTTGAATTCTCTGGCAAAGTTGTGTTTCCACCTGTGAAGAAGACGGCTCTTTGAAAGCCAGAGAAGAGCTGCGAGGCTCACCCACACATACCTGTCCGAAGTTTTCTTCATCTATACAGAACATGAGGTCTAGTTCAGTAGGATCATTTTCTAAGATCCATTTCAAAGAGTTGTAATATTCACTGTCCTATAGAAATGGCACAAAAATAAAAATTAGGCTTTTATTTTTCAAAATACGAATCTGTTTGACTTCTTTAAATAACGAAGTCCTTTTAATGTAGCCCAGGCAGAATGTTAAAGAATGACATTACTCTAATTTACCATACATTTCCTGCCCCACCCCAAAGGAACCAGTCCTCTTTCATTCAAAGTACAAACAGTTTCGGCAGTAACAGGGGTTGGTGGCCAAGTCCTGCCCTTTGGGAAGCGTAGAGACCTATCTGAGAGATGGCGGGCCCAGCTGTCGCACACTGTCCTGGTCTATTAAATTAGTAGTGGAAAGAGCAATAAAACTTCCCTGCTTCTGACAGTTTCATCAGAGGTAAAAACATTCTTAGCTTTCCTAAGCTAGAGAATGTTCTCACTAAAGCTAACGGTTGGAAGTTATGCCCTTTCTTGTGCTTTCATTGCTTTCTGCAAGTTAATTTATGCAAAAAGGGGAAGCTTCTCTGTTTTCAGAATACAGAGCAGGAGTCACAGGGCCATCAGCTCCTCTCTCCAGGCAGACCCAGCGTCTCTACTCTGGGGACATTACAGGCTCTGCAAAGGCAGAAACCAGCGTGCACACTGTGTTTAAACACGAGCTGTCAACATGTACCTAAAATTAGACTCTCAGAGACATGTCTGTGCTCCTAGGTTCCTCTTTACACAGCGATAAAAGCAGCAAGCACGAGGAAAAGGTGGAAGTGGAGGAAAACTGAGACTGTGGTGCTCACACCAGCCCAGCATGACTGCAACCAGCACCGCCAGCCCCCTCTCCTCCTGTCCCCCAGTGACGAGGACAGAAACACAAGGTCAGTGCTGGTTCGTACCCGGACAGGGCTCATGTATCTGACTGCACAAGACAGTCGATACTGACTAGGCCGAGGGGTCTGCAGCTGCTCCTTGACTCAAGTGAAAGGACGTGAAAGGAGCTCTGCAAATACCCCAAATGGACAAACACACTTCCCCGTGGGTCCATGCACGTGCTAGCACACAGGCAGACACCCACAGGCTCTGGAGGTAGATGGCAGGGTACAGGAAAATCGAAAGACAGAGGAAACGTTTATTATGAGAATCATGTCGATTTGTTTCTATAGAAAACTCTTTCAGTTTGGGGCCAGCAGGTGGTGTGGTGGTTAAGGCACTGAACTCCCACATGGTCGACCAGGGTTTGAGTTCCAGACCTGGCGGCTTGGCTTGCTCTCTCCCCCAGCCCCAAGCATCACTTCTTAGAGAACTTCTGGCATACACTTTCCAAGTCCCCTGTGTGGTAGAGGTCCTTGTTCTTCCGTAACTAGACGGCTGTGTGGTATTCTTCCTGCTGTTCTGGGCTTTGCCACCGCCATTTTATGAGGTCCCCCAACAGGGACAGCTAAAGAATGAAACTGACTGTCTTAGATGGAATACATTGGCTACAGCGAGGGATTGGATGACCTCTGGATTTAACCTGGTCCCACTCGTCCTGGTCCTGTGCTGGGTGAGCAGAGGTGATTGAGACTGGGATGTATTCACTAAGAACTGTGAGTTGCAGGCATGTGAACACTGACTTGCTCATTACAAAAATTAAGGTGCTCGATTAACTTCTCGAACAATCACATGCCCCCTGTCGTTCATACTGAACGACACACCCATAAAAATCACCGTGACTACAAACATGGTCTCAAACATGGCATGAGCACCCGCGACGGTTCGTGAGGATGTGTATTTACTCACCACAGATTCCATGTCATTCAGAGTTATCTGTTTTCCCAACATCATCTTGTAAAAAGGTCTGATGAAGAAACCTAGAACACAGTAGGAGCCGGGTTAGTTTCAAGTCTCTGATGCTGCTGTGCGTCAGAGCGTTAAATAAAGACCCACCTGCTCTCAGTCTGAACAAGAAACCAAGACAATCAGGGACCGTTGATGGCAATCCCTGACTAGTGGATGGGGGTTGGTCAAGGGGAGTGGGAGGAAGGAGGGACAGTGGCTGAACTGCTGGAGACAGTGCAGCAGAGAGGGGTTGAGAAGGCTTTGAGGAGGTGCCAAACTGGGGGAGAGGACACTCAGGAGAGGGGGTCAGAGATTGGCCAGCCAGCAGTTTGCCAGGGTAGAAGCACAGGGTGTCCTCGGGAGGACGGGTCAGGGATGGGTCCCAGCAGTGCACATGCCTCATGGGTGCCAGAGTTTGGGCCACTCCCTGAGGCATGGGGCGTCACAGGTGCAAGTCCATTTGCATTTTAGCTGCACTGCTTGGCAGCAGAGGGGAGAAGACACGGGGTTGGGGGGGGGACAAGATGAAATGAGAAGACCACTGAGAAGGGTTGTGCAATCTTCAGGGAGGGAGTACAAGCCCCAGGGGGGCAATGGCAGTGAGGATGACTCTGCTTCCCTACAGGTGTCTGCAGGGACCTCCACTTCCTGCTTTCCTTTGTCCTAAGGCGAGGCAGCATCTTGGGTCACCTGGACTACCACCCAGAACCTCATGGTGCCTCTTGCACCATCACCCACTAGGCACCAATATTCTACAGCATAGGCTGAGTCTGCCTGGCTCAGTGTGGACCCAAGTTTGCAGACTCTGAAACACAGTCATCTCCTGATAGCTAGGGGCCTAATTCCAGGACCCCTGGGATCACAAAATCTGTAGATGTTTAGGTTTCTTATCTAAAATGGTATAGTATTTGCATAAAACCTACACGCACCCTCTATACATTTTAAATCCTCTCTAGGTTACTTTAATTCCTTTTTTTCTCTTATTTTTGTTATAGGGCATATGTGCTCACCAGAGAGAAACAGAGAGCGCGTGTGCGCGAGAGAGAAAGGGGGGGGAGAGGGAGACAGAGAAAGAAAAGGGGGGAGAGGAAAATAAAGTAGCAGGGGAGAAAGAGAGGAATGTGAAAATCACTCCCCAAGGGGGATGGCCACATCACAGTTTCTTCTTCTTCAGTCTCCTTTGGGCACACTCATGTGCCAATTTGATTTTCAAGCTGCCGGGTCTGGGACTTGAACCATGCAGGTGGCCATGGGGGATCCAATGCTTTAACCTCCATGCCACCCGCTGGCCCAACTTTAACTCCTAATACGGTATAAATGCTATGTAAATAGCTGTTCTATTACACTATTAAAATGTTTGTATTATTTTTTCCATTGTAACTTCTACTTTTCTTTTTTCAAATATTTCTGATTCACAGTTGGTTGAATCCATGGATATGGAAGGCCAACTGCACTTCAGCATCTGGGAAGGTAAAGGACACGGCGGAGGTGAGCAGGTACGCGGTGGGTGCTCTGCTGACCTTCTCATGTTTAAGACACTGAAGACATGGCGGACCACGCATGAGCACCCTGCAGCTCCTGACTGAGGCTGGGGCTGTGCTGGGCGGGACCACCGCAGCAGTCTCCTGATTCCCCATCAGGACTTGCTTCTACCCCAGCACCATTTTCCCCTCATGGAGCCCTGGGCAGTCCTCACTGCTCTGGAGAGACCAGCCTCTGAATGCTCATGTCCTGCTATGGCCACTCCAGCTCAAGATGCAGGGAGTCCTGCAGAGCCCCAGCCTCCAGCCACAGCAGCTTCTCCCCGAGTGCTCAGTGTGCTCCCTTCCGCCTGGAAGCTGTGTCCTTGCGACTCCATGTTTGTTCTCATTCCTTTTCCCCACTATAATTTAAGCTAGCTGAGGTCAGGATCTTATACTTCTCTAGATTCTCTTGCAACAACAGTATCTTCAAACTTGATGGAAATAGAATAAATTGACCTTCTTCTTAGAAGGCTGGAATGAATCTGAAGAGGCTGAAATAATCCCAGAGTTGCAAACTGAAATATGGTCACACTATATACATACATAGAAAGAGTTGTGTATCCTTTTAGTGAGAATCACAAATAAAGTATTGAAATCCGAGTGTCAAAACTTGCTAGCAATCAAGAGTAAAAATATATCAAAGGGAAAAGTACAGAGGGTGCATCAATTATTTACTGAACAGCCAAGGCTCTACAAACACAATTAAACTCCTCTGAAAATACGTCTGTCAGAGTCAATCTCAAAAAAAAATTTTTTTTAAAGGTTTTTGCCATAGGGTGTGAGCACCTGCTAGAGAGAGACAGTGAGAAGGAAAGTGAGAAATCACTCCCTGGGGAGACGCCACACCACAATCCCCGTTTGGGATTTTGGGCACTCATGCACATGTGCCCGGTGATTTTTAAGCCTCCAGGTCTAGGACTTGAACAGCAATTGGCTATGTGGGAGTCCAGTACCTCAACCACTACACCACCTGCTGGCCCCTGTCTATCTCGAATTTTACTTGCTGTTTTCCATCCTCAACCGTTTCACCCCTGAGTTCTTAAAACATATTTTTAGGGACCAGCAGTTGGTATAATGGCTAAGTTGCTGGACTCCCATGTAGTCGACTGTGGTTTGAGTCCCAGATCTGGTGGCTTAAATTCATGCCGGGCACGTGTACGTGTGTGCCCAAGATCCCGAGAGGAGAATGGAGGAGAGGGGACTGTGGCATGGCGATCCCGCCTGGGGGGGGGGGGGAGTGATTTTTCACCTTCTTTCTCTCTGTCTCTGTCTTTCTGGCGAGCACAAGTGCCCTACAGCAAAAACCTCTTAAAAAAACACACATACATATTTTTAGGAGACTTAACAGTAGTGTAGCGATCATGCAATGCTCTTGAGACTGGCCCACAGGGGAGGCTTTGGGTTGGGTCTGGACACCTCCCTGGACAAGCTGGATGTGCGCATGCCCATGGCCCCGGGCGGCTGAAGCAGTGGGTGGACTGTGGGGTGAAGACCCTGGTGGGGTCTCTCTGTCTCTCATTAATGGAATAAACAACTAAATAAAACTTAAGCAAAATTTCTGATTTATTTCCACTCACTCATGACTTCCGCAGTGTTCCTTAGTGGCACTATTTCTGAAGCGATCAGCTCTGATTACAGGCCTATGGAGAAAAGGCAGCGAGAGGGTCTGACTTCTAACTTCCAGGGAACCTTGACGGTTTTCTGTCATCTATCTGCTCTAAATAATGATGGAATTATTTTGTGTCATCTGTCTCAGCAGTGGTTGGAGGTTTAAAATCTCAGCTTATAATATTACTTTGAAATTAGTCTCTTCACACTAAAAACAGTAGTAATTTGGGACGAATGGAACAATGGCAGGCTACTGATGGATTAGATCATTTTAATGAACTTTTCAATTAGCTTTCCCATCTGTCACATCTAGCTCTTATTAAATAAAACCTAGCCTAGAAAGCATACATAATGCATAAATACGAATATCTAGCTTCACAGTTAGTTTTTTATTTTTCACTTTTGAGGTTTTTTGCTATAGGGCTCTTGTGCTCTCCAGAAAGACAGAGAGAGAGACAGAAAGCGAGAAATCACCCCCCAGGGGGGATGGCCACGCCACAATCCCTTCTCCTCCCTTCTCCTCTTGGGAGCTTGGGCACACACACACACACACACACAGACACATACCCAGTGTGAATTTAAGCTACTGGGTCTGGGCCTCAAACCACGGTCGACTATATGGGAGTCCAGTGATGTAGCCATTATGCTAACTGATGGTCCCCACAGTTAGTTTTTTGGTTGTTGTTTTTTTTTTAGAGAGATTTTTGCTATTGGGCATGTGTGCTTGCCAGAGATACACAGAGAAACAGAAAGTGAGAAATCACCCCCCAGGGGGCAGCTATGCCGCAATCCCTTCTCCTTCATGTTCATCTTGAGAACTTAAGCACACACTCACACGTGCCCAGTGCAAGTTTCAAGTCGCTGAGTCTGGGACTTGAACCGCAGTTGACTACGTGGGAGCTCAGCGACGTAACCATTACACCATCTGCTGGTCTGCACACTTAAATTACTTAAAAAAACTTTTTAACTGTGTGTAGAAGCTGTCTTCAGTGCTCAAATTGAGAGCAGGAAAAAGTATCTCCATTATGGGCCAAACATGAAAATAACTGAGTTAGAGAGCGCCCTATGAAATGGTAAGACAGAAACAGCACTGTACGCTTTTTACGACTCAAGACTTAAACAACTTACCATCTAAGAGTTTCCCATGAAATACTGCCAGACCAGCAACTCTCCCAATAAAAGTGAAGTAGGACAGATGATCTTCATTACAGAGGCCTGAATTGGGGTTGATCTGAAGGGTGTAGTTGTCTCTTTTGGGGAGAAAGAGAGAAGAAAAGCTCAATCGTACTTTTGAAGTAACCAATTCAAGCATCTGAATTTCCTTTGCCATCTGCTGCTCAACTCTCCCCGGGTACCTGCGAACATTCCAGACCTAGTGGGAAAAGGCGTCATCTAGAGAAAGTGACTTACCCTTTCCAGTCCACCCTTTTTCACACCAGTCACTGAGGCCGCCTGGGCTGACACACCCTACATTGTAAAATTTTTAAAAAGTGCTGATGTTTGACTATTTTGATCTTCAGAAATGTCACTTTCATACGGTTTAGCCAGGTATCTTGGGAAGATGAGAAATCCCACATAAGAAAGGGGATGCATGGAGATTCCCATGATACAAGTACTGTAAGCTCATTCTGCTAAAGGAAGGTTAATTCCTTCATGAGGCTTTGCCTTGGGGATAGCATCTTCTCCACGGGCCCAACTCTTGGTCTCTTTGACCATCACTCTGTCCTGAGAAGGCCTCAGGGAGGACATAGGACATGGTTGTCTCCACAATTCAAACCTCAAAATGCTTGGCTGTATCCCATGGTTTTTGTCTGGTCTCCCAAACATGAGGATCTGTGGTTTTCAAACTGGGCTCCATAGAGAGTCTCCCAGGAGTTTCTTTGGTAAAAATCTTGCCTTCCTCTCACTTTGATGGTTTTATTTACATTGTGGGCTTTCTTATGGGATTTACTGGGTCATTGGAAAAGTCATGATACGTATTTGTAGAGAAAAACAGAAAAATACATTATGACTTTCTGACCACCCAACGATAACAAGAACAATCAAATGGGGCAATTCTTGTCTAAAGCAGTAGAGAAGTTCTGAGACTGCCTTCCAAGTGAACCCCCCGGAAACAGTGCTCAGTAGGAGACATGCGGAAACCCCTATGCCTGTACAGCCTGGGGCTGGGGTAATGCTAAATGCCTTTCAGTCAATGACTGTTCTACTAGGCGTTCAAGTCCAGCCTAAAATTCAGAAGAAATGGCTGGACTCGTAAGTAGCCAGTGTTTGAAAGCAGGTGAATTTGTCTCACTTCTATGCCTGGCAAGGATGAAATCCTAAGGCAAGGGGAACCAGATTCTGCCCGTAGAGATGAGGGCATGGTCCCTCGTGTGTTTGAACATGGGTCCTCAAAGTCCTCATATTTGCCTCAAAAAAAGCGTGACTTCAGGGGGCCAGCAGGTGGCATGGTGGTTAAAGTGCTGGACACTCCCCTGTGGCCGACCACAGTTCTATTCTTGGACCTGGTGGCTTGCTTATTTACTTTCCTCCTTCCTCTCTGTCTCTCTCTCTCTCTGGTAAAATTAAAATAAATGAATGAATAAATAAAATTTAATGATTCTTTAAAAAAAGAGTATGACTTCAGAAGCTATTCTTGTTCATGAAATAGCTCTTTTTAAATTCTGACGCTGACATATTCTCTTTGCAAATTAATGTAACATGACAAATGAAAATTGCCTCTTGTTCCTTACCATAATTACCCAACACATTTTCAATTTCAATTCCATGAACCCTAGAGATAAGAATCAATTTTAGGTGTTCAGAGTACATGATTTCATTATGTCGAGTCAAAAATCTATTCTAGACTTATAAGGGGCAGGAGTGAGGGAGACTGAAATCAACAGCTAGTTCACCACAAACGAGGAAACATTTATTCTTGCACTAAGTTAAAATCTACTAAGCATAAAGCTGTTTCACTGGGGAAGCACACTATGAAATACTCCATATACTTACGTGGCAGAGTACTCAAAGAGACCGTAGTAGGGGTTGAACATCTCTTTGGACAGGAGGAAGAACCATTCTCTGGCCACACCCCCATAGTCAAGACCTTTCTCGGATTCAAATTCAATCCACAGTCTAGCTTTCAGGACATCTGGTCTCTTCACAGACATGATTCTCCGATAGGATTCTTCGAATATGTTATTTCTGTGGAGTTTCATTTCAAACCTATTTGGAATATCAGCCTACACAAAAGAAAAAGAAAGCACGTACTCATATGATAAATACAGTCCTGATTTCCTAATGGAAAAAATAACCAAGGGTAGAAATAACGGCAGGCTTCAAAGAGCCGTGACGAATGGTTCCTACTGAGACACTCCTTCGTGGGTTTTCTCTCACATAGACAGGAAGCCTCACTGTGTCATGACGGGGCCCAAGGAGTGGTGCCCCCAGCCACTCGGGCTGAGCGGTCCCTGTGCTACAGATCTGCGTAGTAGAGGAAAAGCATCTTCTCCCCTCTTATCAACTGCTGCAGGCAACTGTCCACCCACTGACAACTGAAACACAGTCGACTCTATATACTGTTTCAGTCAAGGGAAGAGACTTTAGCCTAGGTACTCAACATCTTTAAGTAATCCCCACCTGGCCACACTGGGTCTGTTCTCAAGTGTGGCAAGGACTCCAGGTGACAGATACCATCCATGATGCCTACCGGTTCATTCTGTTGCCGTGGGGAGCCGGACCCTGACCTTGTCAAGTCTGGAGAAGGCATCCTAATGTCCATGGTTCACTGACATGAAAATAATGAAGCACTGACTGAGGATAAGAGAACTGACTCCTATGGAGATGAAGGCCAGGGTCAGCCTTGCTATATGAATGGATCCAGGCAGAAGACAGCACAGTGTAAGTGCCAGAGTGAGACAGGACACCTAGGAAGTCATTGCCGGTGACTGAGGGGTGAGCGGATTGTCCTCACGCCCGCTGGGGGAGCCTGTGTGCAGATCGGAGCTGTGAAGGACGGCTAAAAAGTACTTAGTTGGATCAGGATGTTGGCATTTCTGGGAATAGAGATGATGCCTCCTCCCTAGCAGGTAGGTGCACAGCAAATGAGGCATCAGGTAACAGGGGGGAGCAGGGTGAGATGGGGATAAAGCAGGGGAAACTGGGCTGCTCGGAGCTGGGGCTGACACCCTCCCCTGCCCTGTGGTGCAACAACAGTGCCTGAACAACCTCAGGAGAAGCTGCTAAACCTACCCAGGAGAGGGGAAGCTGGCATGCAGAACAGAAGACATAATAAGGTTGAAGAATTTGGGGATCATGTATCAGTAGACAATGTAACATTTCATTTTAAAACTCTGCCTGGAAGAACTCCACAGGGTTTCTCAATTTTAAATTGCCAGTGAAAATCAAAGTCAGAAAACTACACTTGGACCCAGTACTGCCAAGTACTACCATGTAATATTACAAACCTTATTTATATTCTAAATGTGAATATTCAAGGTAAAACTATGCTTCTGAATTTAAAGGGAAGGACTTGAACATTTTTCTAAGTGGGATCTACTATGACAACGAGATGTAATGGCATGGACTTGTCCAGATATTTTTGATGGGGGTCCCGACTTTTTTCCATAGAACTCATTTCATTGTATGTATTACATAAGAAATGGCCCTTCAGGTGATTTGATATTTAATACTTGGTTCATCTTCACTTACCATTTTTGTTAAAAAGAAAATTCAGATAGAAGACCCAGGTGGACCAAAGTGCAATGAAAAAAGGAAGGTAATATTTTTAGTATACACAAAGTAACAGACAAGTGTTCTCAACTGGAGTAACTTTGGTAGCTTACAAATGACTAAAACACAGCATTTTTGAAGACATGATTACTCACAGGTTTCTTTAATTTCTTCCTAAAGTAGTCATATTTCTGCTTAAATTCTCTGGAGTAGGGAACAGCCTGGAAGATAAATTTATAAATATATACAATGCCAAAAAAAAAAGTTAAAAACCCTTGAAATTTTATGCACACTGAGCCAACGTTCAGAGAACTTCATGAATCATAAATCTTAAACTCTCACTCTTCAGATTAAGCATGGAACATTTATATAATGTCTGCCTAGCACATGGGGAAGTCCTAGAGCTGATTAGGGATAATCAGTATTGAACAGAGCTTTCACCTCTGGAAACACCTAGAAAAGACATCACTTAGGGGATCCCTACAAACTGAACTTGCTGTCCACGTGCCTTCTGTTAGAATATGAGCCAGGACATACATTTTTTTCCTCCCTGCAGTTAAGAGCTACGGGTTGTGAAACTTTAATGTAGAACATGGAATGACCCACAGAGCTCATTCTAACCACGCTTTAAAAATCTGTGTGGGGACATACAATAGGTGGAATAAGCAAGTAAACCAAGACTCTGGTCAAGGGAGATAAAATCAGGAAGATGGCATTCTGGGAACATTCTCAGAGTGATGGCTCTACAGGTGTGAGTTCAGTAACTACAATCAAAATAGTTGATTGTTGGGACCAGCAGTTAGCGTAATGGCCATGTTGCTGGACTCCCATGTAGTCGACTGCAGTTCGCGTCCCAGACCCGGTGGCTTAAAACTCATGCTGGGCGCATGTGCATGCGCGTCCAAGATCCCAAGAGGAGAATGGAGGAGAAGGGACTGCAGTGTGGCCATCCCCCCACCCCCGGGGGGTGATTTCTCTTTCTGTCTCTCTGTCTCTGTCTGTCTGGTGAGCGCACGCGCCCTATAGCAAAAACCTCCCCCCCCAAAAAAAAGTTGATTGTTATTTGAAAGTTTTGTATCTCTTCAGGCAAAGTGGTATATAAGCTTCATCTGCTTTATTGTAAAGTAGCTTATAATATCTTGAGTCAGAGCCCCGATTTCAGGCTATTGAAAAAGTTTACCCGCTTTTTACAGAAACAAAAAGGAGTGGCTTTTGCACACACACAGCCGACCTCACACTTTGAGATACTCATTGCTTTGTAGAGAATGGTATGAAATTTGGCACAGAATACTTCTGCTGATAGCAGTTTGGGCTAAGCTAATACAATTCACTGATCCTTAGTAATCTTTAGATGCCAAAGCTTATCCCTTTCACCAGAAAAAGCAGCACTAAAGAACAAAAGCTTCCCTGCTTTAGACTGCTTTAAGGCATGATTACACACATAGGTATGAACCCCAAACAAAAATAGCTACTCTTACAGAAATTGATTATGTAGCATTTAGCTTCGTAATTCAAGAGCAATAAAGATATCGCATTTATATATCTTAACATTCAAAAGCAATTCTCACTGCCTATGCTTATTCTTAGTTACTAAGTCCGTCTTCATTTGATTTTCTACTGGACGCGACATTTGACCACAGAACCTATCTATTTTGATGAAGTCATGCATGCGTTCTAATTCTGGGCAAGGTACACATTTGGTCAACATCTGGACAACCACCTAAACAGGGGAAGGATACAGTGTTGGGCCATTAGCTAGTACAACCATCATGGGTTTTTCCCCACTGATAGCACATCCTTTCACGAATTAAGATTTCCATTCTAGTTTATTTATCCCTCATTGGTGGCTCATTGGCTAATTCACTCAACAGATTTTTTTTTTAATGCCAGAGGGCAGGGCAGGTATGCAAGGTTGAGAGAGAGAGAAAAGGGAGAGAGAGAGAGAGAGAGAGAGAGAGAGAGACCAACTGCAACCATGATAAATGAGGACATTTCTTTCTTTTTTAAAAAATTATTTTATTGAACTTTATTTACTTATTTATGTATTTATTTTAATTTGACCAGAGAGGAACAGAGTAAGAGAAGAGAGAGAAAGAGAGAGAGAGAGAGGAGAGAGAGAGAGGAGAGAGAGAGAGAGAAGAGAGAGAGAGAGAGAGAGAGAGAGAGAGAGAGAGAGAGAGAGAGAGAGAGTCCCCTAACAGAGTTCAGTCATGCTGCAATCCTTTTTCTCTAACCCATCAGGATCCTGGACATGCATGCACAGCCCTGGGATGTTTTTCAAAATGCTGGGGCTGGGACTTGAACCCTGGATGGCGACATGGTATCTGCCTTCCTCTGCATGGCACTCAGCTGCTTTGCTCTAGGGTTGGCCCATCAACAGATATTTCTTGAGCACCTACTCTGAGTACGGCATTTTAAGTGCTAAGGAAATGACAGTACACAGGGCACAGCTGTCTTCCCTGGTTTGTTCCCTCTTGGAATTTACAGGCTACTGGGAGCAACAGGCAATATGAAATACATGAATAAATGGTGGTAGGGGCTCTGAGTGGGAAATCAGTGCTAAGAGGTCCTGGGAGTTACTTTGTATGAGGTTTTCAGGGAAGGCAGTTCGGAGGAAGAACATCAGAGTAGAAACCAGTCACAGGATAGAAACCACTACAGGAGCAGAGAGCACCAAACACTGAGGGGGGAACGCACCTGGCTGACTGACATGTATAGCTATGACTGGCTGTGCTCGAGGAGAATTAAACTGACAGAGGTTTCCTTTCTCTCATTTCAGCTGTAGAGGAACTGACTTCCAGGGCAGACTCCATCCGCAGTGAGTTCTGGGACATAGCCTCTCCTCTGAGTAACCGGTTCACAGTCAAGGAGAAGGATTTGACCATGTGAACTTCAAGGCTCTTCCACTTCCAAAGCCTTCAATATTCAGCAAATTATTTTTTGTTTGCATCCCCCAAATATTAAAGGAAAACCTCAAGTATTCATTCTTGTACGTGCAAGCTCAGTTGTCTTAAAAGACAAATGTCCTCAAGGAACAGACTTCCAAATGTTGACACCCCCCCAACCCCCCTCACCCCCAGCCTGTGATGTCTACTGTCCTGCCTGCCTTGCAACCATGGAGGTATTGACTTGGTGTGGGTGGAAATAGATGCAGAGAGATTTCTGGTCTTTCTTTTGGGAGATGATGCATGAAAGGTGAAAAATCCTCCTCCTCCTATGCTTATTATCTTTTCTCTCTAGAAGTATTATAGTTCTCTTGATAGAACAAGAGAAGTTTTTAATTCTCCTGTTGAAAAGATCCCAACAGCACACCAAGACAAAGGCATCTATACAAGGCAGCTTCTGAAAGGAACTGCATGTACATTTCTTGTATTGAACAGATTACATTATTTCTTCTCTCTTAAAAATCTGGCATTTCCTTTCTGCACATGCAGTGTAACATGTACAATCAATCTTTTTGAAAAATTAAATGTCTGTTGATAACAGTTCTTTTGTTCTGGATTCAGCATACTTTCTTCTTTGTACAGAAAGAAAACCTGCCATGCTGAGTAAGGTGCCTCTACATGTCTTTGCATTGCTATCTTCTGGGAGATACTGGTGCTCCCAGGGAGAGGGACTCACACCTGATGTGGCGACAGCAGTGACCCCGTGGGGTCTGGTCCTCATTCTGACACTTGCAGAGATACAGTTAGCTTCTGAGCTTCTGACAAATTGGGAGTAATCACATCTGTTCTGCCTTCCTAAAGGGATTGTGGGTATTTCAAATCCACCCATTATAGAGTTCTTGTTAAAGTACAAAGCACTACACAAACATGAGCCAGTGCTCAACTTTTTTTTCAGAAAGAGATTTTTGCTATAGGGTACGTGCACTCACCAGAGAGACAGAGAGAGACAAAGAGATAGAAAGTGAGAAATCACCCCCCCGAGGGGGGGAGGATGGCCACACTGCAATCACTTCTCTCCCACTGTCCTCTCAGGATCTTGGGCAAGTATGCCCAGCATGTTTTAAGCCACTGGGTTTGGGACTTGAAACCACAGCTGACTATGTGGGAGTCCAGTGACTTAACCATTATGCCATCTGCTAGCTACCTCCTTTTTTTTTTTTTTTTTTTTTTAAATTATAGCAGTGTGCAGACAGCACAATGGGGACAGAAGGAGTGATTTACACTCACGCTGCACCCTGAGCTGCCTCCAAAGGAGCCCCCTTTCACTAAAATATGTAGAAATGCTCAGTCAACTTAGAAGTTCACATTTCAAAAACTTGAGGACAAAGTAAAAATACCAGGTACCAGATAAGCACAAAGACGCAAAATTAAAGAAATGAGGGGACAGTGGACCTAGACACAGGTGCTCGGGTTTGGGTTTTAATCCTCCCATGGGGACACAAACTTGGCCTCTTGTCTGCATGACTAGGGGCCAGAACAGAGTTGGCTACAATCTAATATCCAAAAAGGGGACAAGAAAACTACGTGATGGTCCAGAGAAGTTGCAAAAAAGGTCACTTTCTGCATAGGGGCACATATGGGAAAGCATCAAAAAACAAACAGTTCTGAAATAAATCCATACTCCAAGCCTATACCACAGTGAGTATGAGCTCTACAATGACGCCAGCTGTGGATGCCCGAACCTGAAGTTAACAGAAAACAGAGATTAGGACTTATAAACGCCCAACAGGAAAAGAATGAAGATGAGTTCACTTATTCAGAAACACAAAATTATAAACTGAACTAGACAATAAGCTAGCACTGAGGACAGTCTCAAATGCCCTTAGGACCAGAGATAACACACAAACTGAAAAAGACTATAAAATGTATTTTAAAAATGAAAGATGCAAAAGAATAAATAATAAGAAGAAAGAATAACTAAAAAGACAAAACAAATTTTGAAAAACCAAAAAGAACTTTGAGCAACTAAATATAGTCCCTGAAATAACAGACTTAGTGAATGGAAGGGAAGGTAGATTTTAAAACAGCTTAAGAAATAATGAACTGGAAGAGCTGAGTAATAACGCACAATACAGCAAAGATATATATGCATACACACACGCATGGAGACCCAGAGAGGGGATATGAACATTAAGAGATAAGGACGATAATATAAAAGTGAATCAAATGTCCAATAAGAGTTATAAACAGAGAATCAGCAAGAATAAGAAAAATGTCATATGAAGAAATAATAGCTAACTAAGAATTTTCCAGAACAGAGGAAAGATACTATCTCCACACTGAAGAATTCTGAGTCTAAACAAAGATAAACAAAGAGAAATCTACACAGAGCTATGTGATACTGAAACTGCCAAATATCAGTGACAGAAACATTCAAAATCACCACAGGAAAGATTTACCCACACAGAAATTACCATTATATAGACTAACAGCGATCTTATCACCAGTTAAGGGGGCCAGAAGACATGTAAGAATACTTTCAGAGTCCTGAAGGAAAATAACCAAGAAGTCCATAATCAGCTGAACTTCTTTAATAGAGAAATCAAACAGGACAATTCGAGTCAAAGACAAGAAGACGTGATGGCTCTCGGGCTCACTGAAACTGCTGCTGGGATGAGGCTGAAAACTCGAGGGGGTACCAGATCTGCAGGACGTACCCCCCCGCCCCCCCCAGATTCAGTAGAGTGTGGTAAGATCTGAAACTTATGAAAACTGCCTTTCCAGTAAGTCCCCAGTGGATACTGAAGTTGTTGGTCAGCACATCACATGCTGGAAACTGTGAACTATCATTAAGAAGAACCTGTAAGGGGGCAGCAGGTGGCATGGTAGTAAAGGGTGCTGGACTCTCACATGGCTGACCACAGTTCAAGTCCTGGCTTGCTCGCTTGCTTGCTCACTCTCTCTCTCTCTCTCTTGGGCCAAACTGAAAAAAAAAGATAATAAATAAATATAATAATTCTTAAAAATTAAATAAATAAAAGAATCTGTAAGCCAGTAAAAAAACAAAACAAAACAAAACAACAACAAAAAAACACAGATACAAGAACCAAGAGCGGGTAAGGGAATTTGTTTATATACTGGTAAAAATTACACAAGCATTGACTATTGGGGGAAAAGAAAACTTACTAATGACTATTTGAAAAGTTAAAAGACTAGGTAGTTTAAAAATTCCACCTAACGATGACATGGGAAATGAGTGAGAAGAATGGCCTCCGCATTCTCCCAGGCCCTGGTGTTATTTAGGAGAGCAGTGATTCATTTCAACATTAAGGTAGGAACATAGCTCAAAAATTGTAATGTGTGCACTGGAAAATAAAAAGGGAAAATACTACTTGCAAGCGTGTAGAGAAAACAAAATAAAAAGGATTCTCAATCTAATAGAAGGCAGGAAGGAGGAAAAACACCCCCAGTTACAAGAGAGAATAGATACACCATGTAAACACTAATGAAGAGAGAAAGCAAATATAATTACGTAATCTCAGACAAACAGACGGAGTAACGATCACTGTGGAGATTTGACACAACTCTCTTGGCTATATCAAACAGAATCAAAACAAAAAGGGTCTAGATATTCTGGACACCATAAGCTTGACCTCACACACATATAAAAAACCCTAACCAAAGATACCACATACCTTCTTTTTAAACACATAAAGAACAGTTACCAAAAAATGACCAAGCTCCAATGAAGATTCAAATATTTGATTACAATTATCCCCTGGACAATGTTCTCTGACCACAATGCAATTAAATTAGAAATTGGTTAGAAATAGATAGGCAAGACCTTCCCACACTCTCAGAAAGCAAAAAGCACATTCTCAACAATTTTTAAGTTAAGAAGAAAAGTTTTGGAAATTGCCAAATACTTGGAAGCAATGACAAATAAGGCCAAATGTTGGCATTCCAGTGATAATGACCTAATCAACGTATTTCTCTGAAAGAAACATCCCTAATACCAATAGAACAGTCACACACTTTTATATTAATAGAAAACAGAAATAGAGATCTTTTTTAGGGTCAAACTTACCCAGATTGATGCTAAACAACTTTAATAATAATAAAGGCTTACACTTGAGTGGAGGTAGATGATAAACAGCATTCCTGAAACAGCTTTAAAATGATTATTTCTTGAATTTATCTTTTTATTTTTTTAATTCTTTAGAGATTTTTTTTTTGCCATAGGGTGCAAGTGTTCGCTCACCAGAGAGAGAGAAAGACAGAGACAGAGAGAGTGGGAAAGTGAGAAATTACTCTCTAGGGGCAATGACCATGCCACAATCCCTTCTCTTCTTGGGATTTTGGACATGTACTCAGACACACCTGGTGTAATTTTAAGCCACTGTGTCTGGAACATGAATCACAGTCAGCCATGTGGGACTCCAGCACCTTAACCACCATGTCACCTGCTGGCCCTCAGAATGTATGTTGTTTTGGAAGATGTAGAAGGTAAAATACTGTTCTAAAAACCAATTGTGACTGTGATTGTATCATAGGAAGGCAGTGCTTTTCAAGCCACAGACAACCCAGGCATTACTGGGCTCTCTGCACGGGAAACAGTACTGAAGCAGCTAACAAAGAAATCTGGCAAATAACTAAAGGGATGCCAGTTATTAAGGTACGTTGGCAATACAATTAAAATTTACTTTCTTTATTCATGATGGAGTGCATGTATGCACACATGATGGGGGAAGAGAGAGGAAGAGAAAGAAGAGATGAACATGTTTCACAGGGCCAAGTCACGCTACAATCTCCTTCCTACAACCCACTGGATCTTGGGCTCTCTCATATGCCTGGTGTGTTTCAGGGTGATCGATCACTGGAGATCTGAACTGCGGTCACCATGTGGGCTCCAGCTTCTCTTCCACAGGGCATTACTACTGCCCTGTAGAGCCCACCTTGTAATATCATCTAAGTTTTCAACACACACTCTGGGTTGAATGAGATTAAAGTACTAATGAATCAAATTAGTACTTTAAATACACCCATTGGTCTCTGAGCTCAGCATTTGACATAACAAACTTTAGTTTGCTTGGCCATTCTTATTTTATTTTTATTTTTGCTATAGGGCACGTGCACTCACCAGGAAGACAGAGACAGAGAGAGAGAGAGAGAGAGAGAGAGAGAGAATATTCCCCTCCCCGCAAGGTAGAATGGCCACACCACAATCTCTTCTCCAGTTTTTCTGGGATTTTTTTGGGCAAATGTGCACATGTGGCCAGCATGATTTATGAGCTTTTGGGTCTGGGACTCGAACTGCATAGTCGGCCATGTGGGACCCGGCACCTTATCCTCTTTGCCAACTGCTGGCTCTGCCTGTCCACTCTTTTAAAGAACCCCGCATTTCAAACTTTGCTGATCCTAGCAGATTCCTGATAATTCCAAATGATCTCCTCACACTCACAACCACTGACAAAATCTGCTTGTGCATTCCCTGCCAGTGAATGGGGCCCCTTCTACAACTCATCGATGGCTTGTGATACCAAGTATCTACGGCTGCAGAATGACAGGGGGATTCTCCCTCCTCCGTATACGCACAGCGGGCTGCCCTGGGAGGGAGTTAAACCTACATAGAACAGATGCTTCTTCCATCAGGCATAAATGAGGGCATTATGAGAAAGTCAGTGGGCTGGCAGAGTAAAGCTTCTTAACTTTGTCAGTTCCCGAAGTTAGCTACAAAATCAGCTCAATTCCAGATTTTTAAAGTTGGAAGGGATTTAAAATTTGTTAGCATGCATTTACTACCCTTGGCCTACAGAAATAACACAACTTTACAAATATGGGACCTAGTTTTGCCTCCTATACGAAGGAAGGAATAAGATATTTAAAAAAAATTGCCAGTGGGCACATGCACTTGGCAGCAAAAGACAAAGACAGAGAGAGAGAGAAGGAGAAAGTGTCCTCCAGTGGGCCACGGTCATGCTGGAATCCCTTCTCCTCCTTTTCTCCAGCCTGTTAGAATTTGGGGCACACATGCACCTGCACTCAAAGTATTTTATTCAAGCCACAGGCCCAGAACTAGAACTATGATAGGCCACATAGGAACTGGCTCCCTTAAGGGTTACCAGTCTGAGAGAAAATTTTAATTTTAATTTTAATGTACCATTTCATAAAGGAGAAGAAAAAAAGCTTTAATTCTGATACCATTATCAAACCATGTCCTTTTCCTTTATAATAAAAGCCCTCAAGGAAAGGACATGGAGTTGTACCTTCGCTGGAAACTGGAGGAGGTGGAGGAGGAGATGGGAGGAACATCAAACTACTTAGTAACACCAGTCCCCTGGCATCATGGTAGTCAGTAATATACAAGAAATGCATGTTGAACTACAATCGAAATCTTATACCGAGGAGTCAGAACTCAAGAATACTGACCGGCCCAGTAATGGCTGGATTCTGCAGTCTTGGGTCTTCCCACTGGGTAATTTTGCTATCTGAAAATGTTAAAAAAAAAAAAAAGAAAAAGAAAAAATAATCAGCACATTAGTTCATACCCACTCTATGCCAAGATTAGCTTTTTAGCATCTTCAAAAGCTGCCCAGCCCCTTGCCCTGTTCCCCACAGGGTAACAGCTTGGCACTCCAGAGTTAGAAGATAACTGACACTCAGTGTGCACCTCCTGAGCACAGTGTTTCGTGACAACCACTCCATCAGAAATGCACAACTGATGTAAAATCATCTAGTCACACTGTTTTTGGAAAGCAATCTGCCAAAATTTCCATTATAAACCCCTGTTCTTTCAAGGATTTATAACTTGATCTTGACTTCTATTTAATTGAAAAGGCATAAAGTCTTAGTTCCCCCCAAAGGTTAACACACACACACACACTCACACACACACTTTTTTCTCATGTCAAATACTTTTTTATTTGCTGGTGATGTTGAAAAACAGCTTTCAATTAAGAACCCTACATCAAACAAGTGAATAACCCATTACATGCGTCACTCACACACACAGAGAAATCGAAGCAGCTGAGGCAGCCCAACTACTGAGAATTAGATACAACACAGGGAGGTTCTGGAGAAAGGGCTCCCTTCTGGCCACGTTGGCGAGAGGTGTTTTTCTTTTCCCAAATGAGATGATGCAAACAAGACCATCCCATGTACTTCTACCACTTCTTACACAGGTGACGGCACATGACAGCTGCCCTGATCACGTGGGATTTGCACGGTGCATATGTAAAAAGACTTCATGGATTCCTGGATTTGTGTGTGTGTTTGGGCGGGTGGGGGCAGAGGGTGAAGAAGGTTTCACATGAAAATACACGGTGAGGGTAGACTGTAAGTCAATGAGTTCCCTGGAGTTTCAGGAAATCAAAGTTGAGGAAAAAAAATAAAAGGAAAACAATGACTTATTTGAAAAGTACAGGGGCCAGCCCATGACATGGTGATTAAGGTGGCTGGATTCCATACGGCTGACAGCGTGGTTTGAGTCCTGGACCTGGCGGCTTGAGAAACATGCTGGCTGTGAGCTCGTGCATGCCCAAAATCCTGAGAGGAAGGAGAGAGATGCAGAAGGGACTGGGATGGGACCGTTCCCCATGGGGGCTACATTCCCCCCCCCTCAACCTGTCTCTTTTCAGCAAGTTCACATACCCTCACTTAAAAATTGAGAAAAATAAAAATAGAATACTGGTTCTGCTTATTTCCTGTGTACTGGTGAGTGGGCTGATAAGAATAATGAATTCAGTTTTAATGACTGTACTAGGAATTTTTAAAAGTCTGATATTATTTCAGTGAAAGCAGAAGACAAGTAAAAAAAAAGGGGGGGGGAGGATGTCAAAGCACAGGATGATTCCAAAATTCTAATTTTGCTTTCATGCTGGTAGAAAACTACAAGAAAAGTCTCAACTGTTTTGGAGAACCCTGATGGAAGCAAAAGGCTCTTTTGGTTTAATATTGGAAACAGAAGACTCTGGAAAGTCAAAGTAGCTATTGGGATGGGTAATGAGAAAACAAAACCAAAGAAAGGACATGGTACAGCTACATACAAATAATGCCTTAAATACCAGCTTGGGTTATAACCGTTTCAAAGGGGTACTGCCATCAAAGCAGAAAATAAAATACTCGCAGCTCATGAGGATCCGAAATCTTCAGACCAGACCTGCACTCCGACTCCACCTCTGACACCTGCACCTGGAGTCCCATGGTTGCCTCAGCTCGACTCTAACAAAACCAAAGCCATAATCACCCAATCCCCCAAACCATTCCTGTGATCCTAGATTCCCACCTAGCAGCATCTCATGCCACTCGCTTACTCAAGGAGGAGACCTGGCCACATCCTTGTCCCTCTCTCTCTCTGATAAGATGCTCATCTTTTCCCTGGATTGTGCTCTGGATTCACCAACCATGGTCTTATTCAACCCTGTCCAAGACTTCCTCTATAGCTCTGCCAGAAGGATCTTTCTAAAGAACAAATGCGATCACTATCAGTGCCCTCTAGACAGCTCTAACACTGCCTGCAGGATGAGCCGGGGTCCCCACACCTAGCAGGGGACTTCTGACCTGGCTTGAGTGTCATGTGACCTCCCCTGCATACCAGCTCCTTGTAAGTGTGCAGCATGTCTCTGAACATGGCCCAATGGCATGTATTCACGCATCTACACATTCCCCTGTCCTGGAATCATTCTTTGCTGAGCTTGCCTGGCTCAGCAGGTGAAATCTGTCTGAGAAGTGACCCATTCTGGAGGGCCCTCTTGTAGCCTCCCTCCGACCCCCTACGCCCAACCACTTCCCAAGCAGGCACAGCTCTTGCCGCTGCTGCTTCTCCTTCCCTCCCCTACTATCACACCTGACCTCCCTCCTATTCGATATGGGCCCCTGAAGGACAGGGACTGTGTGTCCTTCATCTCTGCAGCTGCCAGTTGATATGCATCCTGGCATGTAAGAGGAGCTGAATGTGCTACCTTTTTTTTTTTCCTGGCCAGTGGTGTGTGTGCTTGCAAGGGCTGGGGGAGTGGTGAGAAAGCACCCCTCATGGTGGATGGTCACAGTGCAATCCCTTCCCCTCCATTTCTCCCTCCTTTCAGGATTTTGGGCATGCATGCATGTGGATCATGAGTATTTCTCAAGCCACCAGGTCCAGGATTCAAACTGTAGCCAGCGATGTGGGACCCAGTCACTGTAACTGCCAAGCCTCAGGCTGGGCTGGCATATATATTTTGAAGTCTATTCATCTATTTCCTCCACGAGCAAGAAAAACAGAAATAGCACTGCCAAATACAATCCAACCCCATCCTCAGCCAGCCCTGAATTTTGGGCTTGTGTGTCCCCAGCATATTCAGGGAGGTCTCCAGACTTACTTAAACTGGCAAACTTCCCATGTGGAATTGCCTTGCAGTGTTGCATTTTACTACTGTGCCACTGCCTGCCCCCCATATGTTATTATTATTTTTAAATGACTGAATAAATTTGGTAGTTAGAACAAAGTCCTTTTAAGACAGTCTTCAGAACCACATGAGCTTCTGTGTAGTTAGTTACAACAAAGGTCAATTCTATAGCTAAGTATTGTCAATAAATGAATGTATGGGACCAGCTATTCATTATTCATTCATTTCCTTTACAACTTGTGAGTCTAAACTGACGTATCCTCTTCAAGACATTATAATTTGAATCGAAAGATAAGAAGGAAGTAGAAGAATGATGATGTGGTTTGGATCATGTCTACTCCCCAAAGTTTCATGTTTTAGAATTTGATCTCAGTGGGTAGTGACTGAATTTCCTCCAAAATTCACGTGTTAGAACTTGATAGTATTGTAAAAGTATTGAGTGAAAAGTGAATTCCTTCATGCTGTCCCAGGATGAGGGATAATGTCATTAGGGTGGAGCCTCTATAACTGAGTTATGGCGGGAACAGAAGAAGAGGAAGTAAGATCTGAGTGGCAAAGGGAAAGTCACCCGGATACAGATCCCACTCTGATAAAAGTTTGCCTTCTGCAACTCTGATGCTTCTGGACTTCCCAATCATCAGAACTGTGAGCTATCAAATGCTGTTTCTTTTTTTTTTTTGGAGAGGTTTTTGCTATAGGCCGTGTGCGCTCATCTGACAGAGAGAGACAGAGAGACAGAAAGTGAGAAATCACCCCCTAGGGGGGTGGCCACACTGCAGTCCTTTCTCCATTTTCCTCTTGGGATCTTGGGCACACACGCACATGTGCCTGGCATGAGTTTTAAGTCACCGGGTCCAGGACTCGAACCTGGTTGACTACATGAGAGTCCAGCGACTTAGCCATTATGCCAACTGCTGGTCCCTCAAATGCTATTTCTTTATAAAACACCAGGCTCAGGTATTGCTGTTAGTAATGAAAAAACAGACTAAGACAGAAGAAAATACCCAACCTAGCTAATACTAACAGTTGTGGTGAAGACTGTTGTCAGGAAAGAAAACAGGATTTTATAGAGTCACGGGAATTTTATCTTCTCTTCTAACATTGTATGTAAGGCACCTGCATCCAATTACTCAGCTGCTCCACACATGTGGTCTTTAAGAATGACATCAATCCTATAAGAGCTAAAGACTCAGTTCAAGATCTTCCCTAAATCTCTTACATTAGGACCAAGACATAGGGGCTTTTCAATAAATATCAACCAATGAAGCAAAGAACCCTATGGTTTGAATGTGTCCCCCAAAATTCATGTGAGAAGTTGTATTTAGACAGGATTGAAAGGGTAAAACCTTAATCTGATGATGGAGTTAAGTGGTGGGGGTTTGGAGAAACGATTAGGGTTAGGGCCATTAGGAGGGGCCCCCTGTGATTGACTCCTCCTAGCTTTAAAAGGAGACAAGATGTGTGCTCTCCTATCCTCTTGCCCTCTGCTGCCTTGGGACTCTGTAGGGAGCCCTCACCAGTAAGACCTCCATTACATGCAGCCCCTTGGCTTTTGACCTTCAAAACCACGAGTTAAATAAATCTCTATTCTTTATAAACCAGCCAGACTCAGGTATTTGTTTTTAATAACAGTAAAGCATCTGGAACAAAAAGTCTAAAGACAAAATTAGTATTGGGCATTCATTGCTCCTGATGTTAAATCTTTAAGAGAGCTGAATATTGTTAGTCTTGAAAATGTCCAAGCTCTCAAGAAGAATTTATGAAGCAGAAAATAACTAGATAACTGAATTATTTAAAAGACGAGTGTATTCTTGTCTGTAATTCAATACATAGTCACATGTCCCAGCTGTGCTAGGACAGGAGGATTTGGAACCACTCACAAGATGATGGCTTTCACTGTAAAAACGGCATATGGGGTGGGGGGGTGGGGGGCCTGGAATGACTGGGTTTCCATCCTGAAGGATGGCAAAACCATCCCAATGCTAGAAAACTGGATTTTTACGGGGAAACTATTTAGAGACGCTTCATTCTGGAAGTAAGAAAATTCTTACACATTATCATTTAGGTAATTATATTGACTTTGGAATGTACGGTCAGTTTGATAAAGCCTCTTATAAAGATAGGTGTATTCTTACTTCTCAGAGCCTGGTTTGGCAACTCTTCACAGGCTGGATTTTAGTGGAAGGGCAAATGAGTTGAACTGTTTCACTGCTGTGCATCCTTTATCACCTTCCATTTTGGTTCCTCGTAAATACATCTTTTTCTAAAATGTTTTTTAGTCACTAATGTGTACTGTACCTGTTTAAGAGAACTTTTCAGTACAGTCATGTGAGAGCAAAATAAACTCTAATCTCCAAAAAAATTACAACAAATGTAGTCTTGGTACGGCAGCTCAGATCAGCGAGGCTCTGCACGTGGTCAATACCACATCATCCATCTCCCAGGAGCAAAGAGGAGCTGCCCCATGCCATTCTGAGCAGGAAGGATGAGGAACGTCTAGGATGAGCACTGCAGTGACTGGAGGATGGAGGAGAAGAAGGAGCAGCCCTGGGATCCAACGAGTAGCTCCCCTCCTCTGTCTCCCAAGAAATAGGAGCTGGGCCAGCATGGATCTGGAGGGGGGCTGCTGCTTCTCAAGCCAAGTTCTTTCCATTTTCTAAGACCAATGACAGCAACTTCCTGAGACCCACCCCAACTATCCAGAAACTCGACTTAAAGCCCCACCATTTATTAAGTGTTCACTATATATTATACTAGGTCTGTGAATGCCACCTGGGAACTCCTCCATGATTTCTATTAGTTTTCTTTCTTTCTTTCTTTCTTTCTTTCTTTCTTTCTTTCTTTCTTTCTTTCTTTCTTTCTTTCTTTCTTTCTTTCTTTCTCTCTCTCTCTCTCTCTCTCTCTTCCTTCCTTCCTTTCTTTCTCTCTCTCTCTCTTTTTTATTTTTAGAGAGTGATTTTTGCTATAGGGCACATGTGCTTTCCGAAGACACACAGAAATAGAAAGTGAAAAATCACCCACTGGGAGGATGGCCACACCATAATCCCTTCTCCTCCATTCTCCTCTCAGGATCTTGGGCATGCACACACATGCACCCATAGTGAGTTTTAAGCCACCAGATCCAGGATTTGAACTATGATCGACTATGTGGGAGTCCAGTGACATAACCATTCTACCATCTGCTGATCCTCTCTATTATTTCTAATTACACTAGATTATCCTTTGTAATGGTGTTTTTCTGGGTTTCAGCTCCTTGCAGAATAGTCACAAAGTTGTTTTCAGATTGATCTAATAAGCATCAGATCACTAGCCAGAATACTGTTACGATGGGGTGTGAAATGTTCCCTGGGTGTGACAGACTAAGATTGTCTTACCAGTTAAGGCCTTATTTTAATGAAATGATCAGTATTAATCATATCTGTTTTTGAAACGGAAATTGCAATGCATAAGAAAACTGAGAAGGAAATCGGTATTTTGTTTTTAGTAGGAAAAAAATGTGTAACTTCTTTCCTATTTTTGCAAATTCTCTTAAGAGGAGGATTATAAATGATAGTATAGTAAGGAAAAGAGCAGAGAAAAGCACATACATTTTAAAGCAATTACAGCAGCAATTTTATATTTATTGTAAAATTCTGGAAACAAGGTAAATCAGAATTTCTTTGCAGCAAAGACAAAAAGCCTATATTCTTGAGTTACATTATTTAAACCAAAGGGGAGACCGCCCTCCTAAGCATACCTAGGACTTCTACTTTTAATCTTAAAACTGTTGACCTTCTTTGCTTAATAACTAGTCAAATCCCCATACTCAAAAGTGATGCTCCGTCTACAAAGCTCTTGGACCTATAGTAACATCTGGAAGAGGTCCCAAGACTCTGAGGTAGTGACAAGACCTATGTGTACGAGGACTTCTCCCATCCATGGCTTTTTGTTTACTCGTGAAAACATGAAGTGAGACATCTGGTATAGACTTCCTGTTTATGAACCAAATGAAAACAATGACCAACATTCCACCAAATCACACATATGACTCGAACTTCACATCTGTTGTAAGCCTTATTTTTAATACGCTTTTTCAGAAGTTTGAAGGGATATGTAAATCTGATCCCATGAAGAAGACCATGTCACCACAAAAAAACAACCAAAAAACAACCTCCCCCCCAAAAAACCCCATTGGCTAAAAGCAAACCTGTATTAGTTGGACTTTTAGTTGAAATGAGAAACCACACGTTTATTGATAGGCGCTGGAGCAAATGTCTACAGCAAATATACTGCAATTTTAAAAAAAGAACTAAGGTATATTAGTGTGCTGGGTGCAGGGAAACATGCTATGAATAGAAAATAAGGTCAGAATGGGCCCCGTGCCACAAGACCTTTGAAGGCAGTGATTTAGAAAACTTATATACTGCTTCAAGCACTATTCACACATAGATTTTTGACTAAATCTTCACTTCTAATCTTATTTTCTATTACAAGAGTGTGTTTATTAAAAGCGCAAAGTCAAGGGATCAACCAAAAATATTTTTTAAAAATCAAAAAAAAAAGTTAATAGGTCACAAGATCAAGTTGGGTAAAAGCTTGATGGGCAACTTTAAGGCAAACTCGGGGTGTAGGCACAGTACCGTACGAGGGCACTGAGTCTCTGGTATCATTTTCTCCACATAACACCTGGCTGCCTAGACAGAAAGTGAAATGACAAGGCTTTCACTCTAATATTTAAATAGCCCTCCCCCGCCCTTCACCTGCAATACCTCTACATCCTTAACAGTGCCCACTTACTGTGATCAATATAAAACGTTCGGCCATCCAAGTGAATCCTTTCTTCCCAACCAGGCTAGGATCCAGAGAAGGAGGAAAGAGACAAAAAGAAAAAAAAAAAAAAAAGCAAACATAACATTAGCTAGCAGTCTCCCCAAATCAAGGGCATAATTTAAAACTATAGGATCCTTTCCTACTCTTCTTTCCTAGGGTACATTTTTACATTAAAAAAAAAGAAAAGAAAAGAAAAGAAAAACGAAGAAAGAAAGAAATACAAACATTTCAAGCTAACTCTTCTAATGGCTAGCACATGCTATATCACGTGTGCCACAGTCTCAGATTTGTTCACTGTACGAAGGACAGGAAAATGGGTTGCTATTCAAAAGCTTCAAAGAAAATTTAACCATACCATGAATTAGTTGAGTTGGAAGTTGAAGAGCTCAACTAATTAAACAAACACCGAGTACTAAAGGAAGAGAGAGTTAATTAAAGATATAAAGATGTTATTTGCGTTCTCAGGGGCTAAACAATCCCATATTGGCATCTTCTGCTGTATATTTTCAATATTCAAATTCAGGAGCTAAATAGATTTGGATAATTTTTTCAAGATAAGGCTAGTATATCCTCATTGCCTGTACTGTCACTATTTGTGATCTGCACTTTAGGGATGGAACAGTCAAGAGTTTTCCTCACTCTCTAAACTCACTCTCTGGGCACTTTCCATCTGAACCAAGAACCAAGGAAGATTTAGAGAGTGGGAAGTATTTGTATAACCTAATGAATAAAGATTGAACCCTGACCTTAGTAGTTTCCAATTTTGCTCTAATTGCCATATACCAAGCTACCAAAAGGTTAATGAGAAATTCTCACTTAAAAAATGGTCTTGGACTCCAAATTCTGCCCCCCCCATCCTAAATACTTTCTTCTGTTTTTAACTGAAAATGGGTTGTTCAGGAGGACATATGGTGAAGGTTTCTTTCACAATCCAGTTTGGAGTAAAAAGCTCAACTCCCACTCAGGCCCCCAAAGAGAACAAACTGGTAAAAATTAGGTTTACAAACAGTCATCAATAAGAAAGAGAAAACTTAAAATATTTGTAGCTTAAATGACTTATAGATTGCTTGTGTCTTCTTCTCCCACACTATTTTCATTATTTTTGTTCTGACGACTAAATCAGCAATATGGACAGAGCTCATTGGTTGCTAAGTTACAAAAATACATGTGTGCTACTCAAATTGCCACCTGTAGAGAATGTCTCCTGAACATCCTCGTTACAAGGGCTGCCTTCCATTAGTAGCTAGCAGCTCAGATCCTCTTTCACAAGTACTGGGCATATCACATGAACGACAATGTACTATCAGCATTCAGCCAAACAGCTGATTCGGTTAAGGAGCACCGACCAATGGAACTCAACAAGTCTGGAGAAAGACAAGGTCTACAAGACCTCTCCCTCAACACTGGGCAGAAAATGCATGTTTTCAGACCATTCAGGTGTCTTCAGTATACTCACAGGAAGAGGGCCAAGGTCATTGGGGTTTAAAGATGCCTTAGACCGCATATGTACTGGAAATTTCAGGCGTGGATCTTCCTGTAAAAACAAACAAACAAACAAAAATGTGCAAGGCAGTAGATGTTTAGAGATATTTTCTGTGTGCAGTTACTGGCTCCTTCCCTTCTTGGGCTGAACACCCTAAGCAATCAGGATGCCTGTGCAAGGAACATGGGAGATTCCATCTTTCTGTTTTGTGCAGATGACTGGCTGACCATCGCTTAGGAGGGTCTCCTTGTGCTTGGTGAAAGGAGAGCAAGATGAGTTAAAGAGACAACCATTTTCCCAAAACCTTGAAGGTAATGGGGTAGGAGGGCCTCATGGGAACCAGAGTGGGAGATGTGAATGACCACATGGCCTACCTCACAGAAAAAGCGTGGAGACAATGATTTGTCAAGCTCTCTGTGGATCCGGAGTTCCTGGTTAGGGCTGCTGGCCAAAACGACGGGAATGGCCACTCTACATGCTTGTGTCTGCGGGGCTCCCTCTACTCCTTCCTGAACTAAGTAAGCAGAGCATATGACTCTGGTCTGATAAGTCTTTGAGCTACTCTGGAAAGACCATCTGCTTCACTATCTTACATGATCAATATAATAAATAAATAGAGATGCCCCACTATGAAACTTTACCAAGATTCCTGACCAAGTTCTATAGAATAGGTTCTCATTTATGTCTCAATATTTAAATGTTTATGACAATTTTTTCTTAAGGGATATGCCACATAAGATACCACAGAGAACCCCGGAGGTGTGTTCTCTGACTTCTTAGGTCTTTATGATTTACACAGAGTCAAATGTATGATCTTGTAACATCCCTTGTCAGCAGCTTGGGCACGCAATCTCTGTTTCTGTAGATAAGAAAATTGAGTTTCAGAGAGAAATAAGAACATGCCCTAAGGTTATGCATGACCCAGAGGCCAGCAGCTATCTCTGCCTTTCACAGATCCAATTAAAATGCAGTGCAACCTGGAGAAGCTATATCTTTAGATTCAAAAGCTTAGACAACCAATGACAAAACTGAAGCTAATATGCTGTCAATCAAATAAACTAAAGATTAACAGAGAAACCTTTAAGGCATTTAATATTAGCTTCATTCAATTATATTAAAGCTTTTGCTGCTTTTAATTACTAATCAGTTTTCTATTTCGCATTTTCCCAGGTCAGTAGTATCACTGGATCATAACAAAGTGACAGATTTTCATAAATAAAAGAATCAAAAGCAATCACCTAAAACCAGCTTTTGTTTTTCTGTAAGCTTTAGCAAACTTTTCTTTGAAGAAATAAATCACATTAGCAGTTTGTGATAAATATTGGCCTTGAACCTAATCTTTCTTAAAGGGATAAGTAAGGCACAAACCAAGTCCAGTATCCTGTAATACACTGGAATGCATATAGTGTAAATAAATATGCTAAGCAGACTTAGGACTGAGAAAATGCAATAAGTTGATATCCGGTAAACATTTGTGATTGGCTAACTGCGGGCAGAAGGAAAGCTTAAAGTACCAAACTCCATGAACGCCATCTACTCAAGGCTAACTACACTGTTCAACCAGGCTACCCTACAACCACCAGGGGACCTCCAGCTCATGACCAGGACAATATAGGGAAAGCTGGGCCAATAGGACACAAAAGAGGGAGGTCCCTTCCTGGATGCGATATTATTTAGGGCCAGCCATGTTTTAGAAGCACACACAGTGTACTGTGAAAGACAATCAGCCCTTTTGGTAAAAAGCTGGTGATTTTAAAAAAGAAGGAACAGATGGGGACAAGCAGGTGGTGTGGTGGTTAAGGCACTGAATACTCCCACATGGCTGACCATGGTTCAAACACTGGACCTGATGGCTTGCTTTCTCACTTTCCTTTTCTCTCTCTCTGGTCAAATTAAAATGAATGAATGAATAAATAAAACTAAATAATTCTTTAAAAAAAAGGGAAGGAACAGAACAGCAGCTAAAATGAATGAAAGAAAAGCATGGTGGGGGAGGGCTGGAACATGAAGTATGAAATAAACTCAGTGTACCAGGTCTGCCAAATGGCCTCACATGGAAACCCAGACCTCACTAAGGTGAGGGCCAGAGGCCCTAAGGGGTCACATTCTCTTACTATCCAAACAATAATCAAATAATGGCAGCAGCCCAAGGAATTGGGCATCTCCATATCTAACAGCGGCCTGCCCTGCAGTAGTTGGGGAGAACTTTAGGGATGATCACACACTGAACAGCTCATAAGATCTTAGATATAGGGGCCGGCAAGTGGCATGGTGGTTAAAGGCGCTGGACTCCCAATGGCCTACCACGGTTCAAGTCTCAGACCTGGTGGCTTGCTTTCTCACTTCCTCTCTCTCTCTCTGATCAAACTGAAAAATAATAATGATAATAATAATAATAGATAAAGTTAAATAAAATAATTCTAAAAAAATATTAGATATAACTGTAAATGAGTCAAATATGCAAAACACATCACTTTGCAGCGTTCTGGCTACGATCAGGTGAGGTGTCAAAGTATGTACAACACATACGATGGTTGTTCCTCTTTTCTCAGTGTGGTAAGTGTACTCTTTTATGAATAATTAACTGCTTCTTTTGATCCAGTTGGAAATGTTTTTAAACAGAATACAAAGATCAGTAACTTTAAAAAATAAGGGGTATTCTTTTTTCCCATCCTGTAAGAGACCAGCAATTCTGTCTAGGTTACAATAAATTTTATTCATTTGAACTTTGGTAGGAGATAATCCTGTAGCTAATCTTTCTTGCTACAGAAATAAGCCAATGCTTTGTCCTGTGAAAGGCATAAACATACTAGCATGCACATGCTTTAAGTTGCTCCCTTAATAGAAGGAATGGCAAGGTGAGGCCTCTTGCAGCTTTCTCAGCCACCTGGTGGCCTCCAGCCTGCAGTCCAAAAGCCAGACTCAGTGGGGACAAAGCCATGCTTTTATGTTATTTCTGATGTTGTCAAACTATTCTAAATGGGTTGCCAGCACACTGCCTTCATGATTTGTAGGTATAAGGCTGTGTTTTAGAAATATATTTCAAATGGACGTTTACTCTATAGGTATACACAGGGAAAAGGTTAGCCTGAAATTTTTCATGCCTCTGGTTCATACAAGAATTAAAAGGGCCCAGGGCCAGAGCAGAAGGAATGCTATTTTCTTTATTGCTCAAACCCAAGAATAACTATGCTGTACTCTCATTTGTTCTCTCTCCTTCAAAACTGTAATAAAGCAGGGCCAGCAGGTGGTAGAGTGGTTAAGGCATTGGCCAACTGTGGCTTGAGTACTGAACCTGGAGGCTTGCTTTGTCTCTCTGGTCAAATGAAAAAATAATAGGGACCAGCAGATGCTGTAATGGTTACATCCCTGGACTCCCACAAAGTCGACCGTGGTATGAGTTCTGGACCAGGTGGCTTAAAATTCACACTGGGCGCGTGTGCGTGCGTGCCCAAGATCCTGAGAGGAGAATGGGGGGAAGGGACTGGAGCATGGCCATCCACCCTGGGGTGGGGGGTGATTTTCTGCTTTCTGTCTCTCTGTCTGTCTCTGCTGAGATATAGCAAAAATCTCTCTTGGAAAAAGAAATAACAACAACAAATGGAATAACTCTTAACAAGAAATGAAAAAAATCTAATAAAGCAAATCCCCAAACTAACTCTAAAGAGATTTGAAGCCAACAAGTGCCTTCAGAGTTCTCTTCCCCTTGGAGCCTTTGTCCCAGAAGAGGCAATGTCCAGGGTGCCCTCAGGTGAACACCCTTTGTCTCTAGGTGATAAGGCAGCTCTGTCAGCACATCTGAGTTTGGTTAAGAAGGGTAGGAATGGTGGCATTTCCAGTGGTTATCTTAAGAATTTTCAACAACAGCAACAGCAGCAGCAGCCGCAACAAGATGCTTATTTTTTAAAAGATAAAAATTTTAAATTAGTAAATGAGTCAATAACAAGTATCTGGGTAAAAAAGGGATGACTGAAAATTTAAAGTGGGTTTCATTCAGCAGCGATGCAGGCAATAAATAAAGCCCGTGCTATTTAAAATAAAATCTACCCAGTTGCAATTACACTGCAGTTGTGGCGTGAAAGGCTGTGAAAGGTTAGAGGATTTGATTACTAAGCTAGTTCAAATTACTAAAATCATAGCTTACGTTGGCAAGCCACGGTGGCTCCATACACTAATCCATCTACTTTTATAATATTTACCTCCTATTTCTGGAGCTCCAATTTCTGGCTGAGGATTTGAAATTACAGCAGTGCTATCGTAAAGGGGAACCCTAGCAGGACAGCCACGGCTTCTATGTCAACGAGAGAAAATGATTTCAAAACCAATCTCGATTACTGTGTTTCCCAAGAGCGGCCTGTCTCACTCTCATGTTGCCCCTAAACCGGTAATACTATCTTCAGACTACGAGGTGAGTCAAACAAACCTACTTGATGTTATACACATTAGAAAGAGTGATCAGTTTACCAAATGAATGTCACTAGATCTTAATGATAAATTCTCTTGGCAGGCAACTTCTTTACTTCAAAGTAGGAAGAGCTTTTACTTCGGTTCAGTCTTTGGGGTGTATGGAAATGTGTGTGGATGGACTATCACTGCAAGAGTAATGGCATCTACTAATATTCAGTGGCAGGAGACAAGGATTTATTTCCCATAGTAGTGGGTTGTTGGAAAAGTCACGATGCGTTTTCTATGCAAAAGCACGTCATGACTTTTATGATGACCCATGGCCTGCCCCAAATGCCAAGAACACCCTCTTAAAGAACTGGTATACCACGATCCACGGGATTTTAGAGAAAGCGCCTTAAGGGACTGAACTGCCATGACCCTAGGGGGGAGTAAATGGCAGCCCATGCCGCTCTGGTGGAGGCCTCCATGCACGACTGTTGTTAACCAACTGGACAGAGTTGGCATCTATCACGAGAAACAGGAACTTTAAATGTGTTTCATTGTGGATCGCAGACCAAGAGCGAGAGTCACTGACAGTCACCAAATGCCATCTGGCTTTCACCGAACACCAGTTCTAAGCTAGCAGCACAGACAACAGGAGGACTGAGTTAAACCCTGAGTCCACTCTCACCAGGCAACTGGACAGGGAGAAAATGAACTGTGTGCAGCATCCCAAGTAGCCAGCAGTGAGAACCAACTTCAGCTTAATTACAAGTCTGGAGATTATAGGATAGAAAAATACCAACTGACTTTTAAAAGAACTATATACTAGATCAACAAAGCACCGCGGATTCAGCTAAAGAAATGGATGGACAGAGCAATACCCAAAGATGCATATTCACCTCTGACTAATCTCATTTTGCCCAAGTTAAAACAACACACGGATTCTTTCTTGTGTATGGTTGAGGAGTGAATGAAAGAACAGCATGGCTAGAAAGAAAAAATATATCAATTTTGATAACATCTTAGCCATTAGATTTACAATCAAAGTCACGGAGTACATCTCCCAATCTATGGTTAAAGAAACGAAACTAGAGCACGGGGGTGTGAAATACTAATCCGAAGTGAACAGTAGAAAGTAAAGCGACAAGTTAAATTAAGGTAGATAATGTCACTAACAATGGAAAAAGAAAAGATGAAGAAAAATTATTTAAAAAAATAATTCCTAATCCAAATTATAGCATGTGATGTGGTGCAAAAACATCAAAATCCTAGCACATAGAGCGTACCCTCTGTCCCTAATATTGGGGACTGTTAGAACCAGGGCTCTCCAGGAGTGCTGTGAGAAAGCAGTCAGACCTGGAGCCAATACCCGAGATGGCTACGACCCCGTGGCATCCCCTGCCTCCCCTTACACTTCCCGGCCCATATGCACAGGAGTCTAGATGCACGCTGAGACAATGACATTCTTCTACAAGAGTTATGAACACTGAGGAAGGAAACAAAGGAATTCACGCCAGACCTCGCGATGAAAACGGAGCCAAATGAAAGCAACAGCCTTACCCAGGTCGTAGTCTTTGTGTTATGGTCAATGAAGAAGGGCCGGCCATTTGGAGCTATCCTCATTTCCCAGCCAGGTGGCAAGAAGCTCTGTGTGACTTTATGTTGTGGTTTGGGGGAGTTGTAAGGTGATGGCTGTGGGGACTGTGGATTGGAAAGGGTATCTTTCACAGCCCGGCGTATGGGCGAATCCTTGGCACCCTAAGGAATAACAATGAGGATTAGAACTCTTTATCACGTGCTATTCCGATGTGTCAAAATGTACCTGGGCATCGTGGAATCCTCCTTTTTGGAAATGGACAGGAGGAAGCTCCTAAAAACCCCGATTTTTGCCATACATTTGCTTTTAAATCAATCTAACTTTACATATTTTTCTTTCTGTTTGTTTAACTCACAACAATATTGAGTACTTAAAACCACCATCCTTTGGTAGCTGCCTACCAAAAAATGGTCCTATAGTTTGTCTTATAGGTGGAGATTTTATAGAGCGGAGAAAAATGTGCCCTTGCTCTTCATGAGCTCACAGTCTAATGAAGAATAGGTTGGCAAATTTTAGCACACAAAAGGAAAAACCTACATCAATGCAGACAACCCTCTGGAATCGCACAGTTGTTAGCCGTGACGCTCATATACTGGAGTTTGGAAGAGATACCATCCGTTCCCACTTATCAGTGTCTTGTCCCAGGGCACGGAGATGCTCACAGCTGTCTCTAAGACACAGTCACGTTTAGGACTTCAAACATTGGCTCTTTGGCATCTCTCACTCTGACATTTGTGATGTAAGGGATGGCACTAAAACAACACCAACAGGACAGAGCGCACAAGCGGATGCCCAGCAATGATTTCGAGATGCAAATAGGCACCAGAAACATGTATGCCCATACAATGAGAGCCCCTACAGTCAAAAGAAAAAATGATCGAAGCAACAGCTGTGTTTTCGAACTCAATATAAGCACTGGTATTTGCAGTTCTAATGAGGAAACAGGCAATAAAGAGCAAAACACAAGAAGAATGGCGAAAGTGCCGCAAAGAGAGTGCCGCGTCCAGCACAAGTCACCACGGCCTCAGCCAATGAGAATGAGAATCAGGTGAGAGTCCAGGAATGTTAACCGGGCGAGACAGAAAAGCATGGAGGAGGGTCGCACAGAACACCCTTCACCACCAACACAACGACTGCTCAGAGCGGAGGGGGGCTGCAACCGAAGTCAAGGTTAGAAGAGAAGAGAGAATGAGGAGAAGTCACAGGACAGAAGTGACCCCGTAGATGAGGTAGCCTTCTCACCTCCAGTGGGGCAGATAAAGTTACTGTTGGCGAACTGAGGCTACGAGGCCGGCGGATCTGAGGCTCGATTAGATGGTTGTTACTGTTTGTGGCTGATCCGGAGGCACCATCTTCTGCAAGCTATTTTGGAGGCAAAAACAAGTTAGCTTCATCGGAGGAGCTCCCTGTGTGTGTGATTAGGAGTGTGAACCCAAACAACAACACAAACAGCAGTAATAAGAGATCTGGCCTATTTAAAGCATGGAGGAAATAATTAAACATAATAATGGGGGAAAGGACGGGGAAGCACATTCAAGGGAAATAAAAATCAATCACGAGCCTGGCATAAAAACTAGCCTCAGAAAAAAGGGGTGGGGAGGGGAGAAGCTAGACACGGCAATAGGCTCTTACTTTGAAAACACATTTGCAAAAATGGTATCCGGGGATAGACAGATTTGAGGACCGAATTCTTCCTTAGGCAAGTATTATACTTAAAGTAATGCATTTTCTTTGTGAGAATGCTTTTCTAAAGGTGCGTCCTCCAGAACAATACACAAACACTGGGAACAGGAGGTGGGTCGTGGACGTTTGGCTTCTACGGCCTGCGAGCTTAGGTTGCATGGCGGTCTTCATACCTGCATGATAGGTCGAGTCCAAGTTGTGGTTCGATTGTTATGATTGACATAGTAAGTGCGTCCCTTAGCATCTTTTCTTTCTTCCCAGCCTGAAGGTAGGCCCGGCGTGGTATGTACATAGGCCACTGATGGCTGTTTGTGCAAGAGATCGTTATTATTTAATAACTTGTATTTGCTTTCTGATCACTTTAATCAAGAAATGTATACCCAGAAATTATTTCTTTTTCTAGACAAAGTTACTTCATTCTATTGGTACAGAAAACATTTCAAAGAGTGTCTGAAAACCAGCAACAGACTTTCAATGGCTTCAAATTCGAGATAAACCCTGCACAGCTGTGGGGTTTGAATCCTGACAGAATTCAGTTCTCAGACCCTATTGTCTTAAACGCAGTGTCATTGCTAAGGAGATTGTCAGCAAGAGAAAGATACTCTGATCTGCTCCAGTTATTACGTTTTTACGCCACACCACACAGAGTTTCAAGGTATTTCACACAAGCCAATGGAAGTGTCTATGGGAGAGGCTCCAACTCTTTCTTCCTTAATATAGTGCCACGAGGGTGTTCTGCCAGCTTAGTCCTCCATTCTTCCATCAGTTTAGGACCGATACATTATACCTTTCAGGGAAAATATGTAAAAACCCAACACGGAGGCCCTTCGGAGGGACATTCACACTCACACAGTGACACATGAGCCCAAGGATCTGTGTGCCCCAGCTCAGGATGTCACCTGGCAACCTCAGGTAAAAATCCCAAAGGTGCCTAACACCTGAGGCTGGATTTACTGCAGCCCACTGATACAGAGTATGTGTCTTTAAGCTGCAAACAATGCCCAGGCAGTTAGTGGGTTCAGAGACTCGTCCAGTGTAGAGTGACTATATTTGGACTGTCCACATGATTACAAAAGGATTTCTGAGACACTAGTGCTTGTAAGAAGCAGTCTAAGAAGTGCAGTCTGGATGGAGAAATACTAAATAGTACAGATGTGTCCATGGTCTATGGAGAGAGGGGATGGATGCTGGAGACCGTTCTGTCCCAGAAGTCCTGGAAGCATGGATGCTGTAGGTAAGATCCAGACCCAAGAAAGAATGCCCTAGGCAGGGAGGGACTCAGAAGTTAAGAAACCAACCATGGCTGCCAAGGAGAATGTCAAAGAAACAAGAGGCCAAAAGCATTAAACCACCTCTTCTGTGAGGTTACAAAAAGAAGCTGCTGCTTTTTTTGGTTACTCCTTTTTGTAGTTAGGATCTTTTGATACTTGAGCAGAAACAGTTTTCTAGATATTACGGCTGAGGTTATAAATTTCCTTTTAATCCGATTAACTCTAGCACATATCCTGTTTTTTTTTTTATCCAACAATGTACCTAGGTGAAGAAAGTCCGTCACAGAGCCTCTTAGGGGACCCCTGGAGTTGGAATGAGAAAAAGCATGAACAAGGAAGAGGCCAGGTAATTTGGGGACTTGTATCTAAAGAGGCTCCATATGTTCTTCATGAGTTTAAGAGCACACTGCAGAGAAAAATAAACTTAATAATTAATCATGAAGCAGCTGATTACAGTGGTTATATCTAAATAATGTTTACCAGGCCAGGCAAGATTATCTGTAAGTTCTTTCTGCTGAAACTACAGCAGTCTTTTCCTGGACCTTTTTCCAGATAACGTCCTAATGGCTCCAGAAAGATAATTCTGATACTCTGACTATACAGCATCTTGGAGATTCACAAGAGCAAAATAAACATCAACACACAGACTCAATCGTTTCCTGCATATGAAAGCCAGATAAATTTTATGCAACCACCTCTCTGTGGTATCAGCATTTAAAAGCTAGTTCTAGGCTATTTTTATCCCAACACTAAAAAATCTACTCTCTTGGACTAAGGTAGCAACCCAGGTTGTAACCTAGGTTAGTGGTCAACTGGTACTTTTGGCAAAGTACATGCTAACAAGTTTTGACTTCCTTTTGTTTATAATGACCAAAATTCTTTGGTTAAGTGGAATACTAAAAGACATTCCTTTGTTTTCCCTCTCTCTACTGAGTTACTTTTTAGAGAGAGGCAATTATGGGTTGTCAGAAATCAGGATGCATTTTTGTTTTACTATGCAAAAATGTGTCATGAGATTTTCGACGACCCAATAGCTCTGCCCTCAGAAAAACGCAGTCCTGGAAAATGTGATGCTATTTTTACAGCTACAGCACCCCTGGAAAGGATATTTACGAGGTGAATGATACACTAAAATAACTTGGATATGTCAGAGATAATCTCAAAACTGAATTCTAAAGCTGTATGAATTCCAGAAAACACACTATTTCATAGATCCACAGTGAACGGGACTAATTGGTTTATGGAAAATTCGAAGTGTAGCAGAGAACACTGAATCTGATCAAAATGTTCATTTTCTTTATTGGGACTTCAACTGGCAGCCTATAATTTAATTATATGTATGAGAGATGATGTTTTAAAAGTGATTCTTCCCAGCGTTCTCCCCAAATGGCCATGGAGCCCAGCCTGTGCTCATGGTTCCACCCACGGCTCCAGACATTTTCTCCAGGCGGCAGGTCTCGGCTCCCCCAGAACACCAGTGAGGTGGCCAGGCTATCTACTGTTCCATGCACATATGCATGTTTCGTGCTACCTCAAGAGGCAGGTTAAAAACTACTCATTGGTTTAATTGAACATTTTACAGTTTTGCATCTGTAGACTAAATCTAGTTTCATGATACTGAACAGCCATCAGCTAGAGCTTCACAGAGGTTCTGTTTCTGTCATTAAAACAAACTTGATTATTAAACTGTAGAAGTATGACAATGCTTTTAAAAATAACCACTGACGTCAACCATCACAGATTCTCCAAGACTTGTTCAAAGCCTGCCCTACTGGTCCCTGGGTGTACTTTCAGAACCTTTCCAAAGATCAGAAGGGCTATGCGATCCCTCTGTAGCTCACTGGGGGCCCTCGGTGGCATGCTGGAAAGTGACACCAGCACATATTTATAAGCTGTAAAACTAAAAAGGGTTGTGGTTTCCCAGGTAAGAATCAGGTCCTGCTCACTGTACTAGAGGAATGAAAGCACTTCCACGGAAAGACAGACATGGCAGGATGGCTACTGCCACACAGTGTGGTAGAGTCAAAAAGGGGGAGCAGGGATACCCTTCGATGTGGGAAATGACATAAATTGTGGTGTGTTCGTATCCCTGAATGCTGTGTGAATATCAACATGTCCCCGAAAAGTGACCATAAGTTAAAAAAAAAAATTCAAGCTGTTGGGAAGTATGGATATGTCATCCCACTTTTCTAAGTAAAATGAAACAGCACAATGCGTGTAAGTCTACACACTGATGTCTGTGAACGCCCAGAGAGAAGTGAGCTGGGACGTCCCAGGGCGACTCTGATGGGTGGCAATTCGTTTCCATGTAAGGCTATGTGGAGTGGCATGGAGGAGGGTGTCCAAGAGGAAAGAACTGCGTTCGGACATGGAATCGGAGAGAGAAGTCAAGGGCATTCAGGACCAGGGATGTGGAAGAGAAACATTCATGTCAGGGCAGGAGACGGACGGACAGACCCTTTCAAACCTACCTAGGTGTCCAGAAAGTAAAGCATGAGAGTAGGTGGGGCACTTGGGAAATACTGCTGCCGAGTCTAAATAGCCACAACCAAATCAAACCCATATTTTAATTCATTGATGGGGAGGAGAGAGGACAGGCAAGAGGGCAAGACACAGGCAGTCTCCAGAACCCCATGGATCACTCTGTCCTGCCAGGTGACTTTTACCACAGAGCTGGTATTGCAGTAACTCAGTTGATCCTGTCATTTACACATCAGCTATCACAACACTCTTACAGTAAGCACAGGTCGGAAGGCCAATAAAAGGCAAAAATAGATGACATGTAAGAAGATGCTCGTCAGCATAACAAAATAATAAAATTTCATGAACTGATCGTGTCCCCTCATGGCTTCATTACTCCCAGGGGAACGACTAGTGCACAACAGGAAATATGAGAGTTCACTTAGGATTCCTGGAAGTTCTAGAGGTTGAGCCTGGCTTACCCCACTTGAAACTGCCATGCAAATCACTGTAGCTCATACCTCGAACTGGGCTGGTGGGCACTGGCCGCCAGTTTGATCTTCCTCTCTACAATGCTGAGCACTGAGTTCTAACAATATAACGGAACTGCTCCTTTAAATCACTGACATACTCCAGAAAATCAGCAACTGTGGGTATAGGTTCTTCAGAAGTAGTAAGTGGGTTCAGGAGGTACAACAAGGTGAGACAATACAGAAACATCCTTGGACAGCTATGGTGGCTCACAGCATAAACTAGAAGCAAGCCTGGCTTTAGCAAGCAAGTAGAGTAGGCAATTAAAATACAAGTCAAATCGAAGTCACCCACGAATACTACACTATACTCAAAATAAGGAAAAAAAAAAAAAAAAACCAGAACAGACATTTGGCTTAGGAGATAGCAATTTTTGAAGACCATTTAGATATCTTAGTTATGTGCCCAGTCCTGGAATTACATGAACACTTGTTTGTTCCTGGGAATGGAGCCCCTGGTCGCAGTGAAAGGGGCTTGTTCATGCTGGACACACAGAATGTCTAACTGTTAAAAATGATGGGGGGTGGGGAGCTAGCTGGTGGCATGGTGGTTAAAGTGCTGTATTCTCACATGGCCAACCAGGGTTCGAGTTCTACACTCAGTAGATTGAAAATCACACTGTGTGTGTGTGCGTGTCCAAAATCCCCAGAAGAGAATGAAGGCGAAGGGACTGCGGTGTGACCATCACCTTGGGGAGTGATCTTCTCACTTTCCCTCTCTCTTTCTCTCTTTGGTGAGTGTATGCGCCCAATGGCAAAAAAATTAAAATAAAATAAAATAAAAAAATAAATAAAATAGTAAGTGGGGGACACGAAGGTGAGAAGGCCTTATGCACATCCAGTACAATCTCATGCAGTCTCATGCCATTCTTGCCTGTTCTGTGACTATTTTATTTTAGCCAAGTATTCTAATAAAAAGCAAAGGTCTGGGACTAGCAGTTAGCGTAATGGCTATGTCGCTGGACTCCCACGTAGTCGACCGCAGTTTGTGTCCCAGACCCGGTGGCTTGAAACTCACGCTGGGCATATGTGCGTGCGTGCCCAAGATCCCAAGAGGAGAACGGAGGAGAAGGGACTATGGCATGGCCATACCCCCTGGGGGGTGATTTCTCGCTTTCTGTCTCTCTGTCTGTCTGGTGAGCGTACACACCCTATAGCAAAAAAAAAAAAAAAAAAAAAAAAACACAAAGGTCTATTAGGAGTACAAATGCCAAAAGGCGAAAATATATTCTAAATGGTTACACTAAACACACATTGCTAAAACTACTCCTAATAAAATTATCTGTGACTAAAAATCATTCCATTACCTAGGACCTTTGAACAATCCCAAATCGAGAGGATCAAAATAAGAAACCTATGTAGCTTGGTAGTGCAAAAAAAGTGGATCTTATTTTAAAAAAACAGAAAGAGTATATTCACCATGGTACAATATATTCAAACCACCCTGCACACTTTCGCATGAATGTCTGATAAAGGGTATCATTACCGTTGGCTCCTCACCACCCGTGACAGTTGATGAACGCGCTCTCCTAGTTGGGGCGCTGGGCTGTTAAATGATAAAGTACATCAGTGAAATGCACTTGGGGGAATGGCCCACTGCGTAGTGATTGGAAATCATGGCTATGGTAGCACCACGCGAGGCAGGTGGATGAGATCAGAATCCAAGACATGCTCCCCATCCACACGAAGCCCAGCACAGCAGTCCGTCACTGATGACCAGCAGCAGAAAGCAAGCAGGACAACCCTGACCCCGGGGGGCTCAGGCTGCACCCTCCATCTGGGTAAACAATGACGACTCAAAAAAGTGACATACCATCTTGTGAGAAAAATACAAAGCTGAGCTAGTTTTGTCCTGCTAATTAATCCATAATTAGTGGATTCTTACATCTGCCAGACTCAAAACTCAGGGCAGAGGCCACTGGTGATCAGTGAGTTTACAGCACCACAAAATGTAGGAGGAATCATCAGTTTCCAGAAAAGGGAGCTCTTGGGTAAACACAATTTGACACTGATTTTGAAAAGGAGAGAAAGTGCCATTAAATCATCAATAAAAACCATCATTAGGCGGAGAAGGATCCCACAAGTACACCGCATTTGATTGTTCTGTTTCAGGGGGCCAGAAGCTATCCCAGAAATGATGTTCTTTTCAAACTTCTTACTATAAACCATTCGTGTTAAGCCATAATTGAACCTGTTATTCTACTTGCTTATTTGACTCTTCTACTCATTAATTCATTCTTTAAAAATTAAAAAAAAAAAAAACCCAGGCAAAAATACCTTTTGAAGCCAAAAACAAAACAAAAATTAAATAGTTCACAATAGAGGAGACCAGCAGTTGGCGTAATGGCTATGTTGCTGGACTCCCACGTAGTCGACTGTGGTTCGAGTCCCAGACCCAGTGACTTAAACTCATGCTGGGCACGTGTGCATGTGTGCCCAAGACCCCGAGAGGAGAATGGAGGAGAAGGGATTGCAGCGTGGCCATTCCCCCTGGGGAGTGATTTCTGGCTTTCTGTCTCTCTGTCTCTCTCTCTCTGCCTTTCTGGCGAGCACACGCACCATATAGCAAAAACCTATCAAAAAAAAAATCACAATAGGGAAGACACTGTGATTTCAAAAACATTAAACACATTTTTCCTTCAAATATGTATGTAATAAAGTTTTGGTCATAAAAATGACTAAATGTTTATGGCAATAAAACAATTAGCTAAGGTCAAACATGAAACTGAATACATTAAAACATAGTATCTTCACTGCTGAAATAAGAAACACATTTATGTGAAATTTCTTAATGTTAATGAGTACATCAAACATTTCCCAGGCAGTCTGGTCTTGTCTTCCAGTTCGAACACTTACAAATATTTATGTTCATGCACACACACATATGTATGTACATATGATGGTATTAAACCCCTACATATCTAAATTTGCTGATTGAAACTATGGAAGACTGAGGACAAATTATAGTTAATCCTTTGCTCAGTAGGGCTATTTTTAAGAGCAAGAACAGGGCTAGCAGGTGGAGAGGAGGTTAAGGCACTGGATCCCACATGGCTGATTGCATTGTTTGAGTCCCAGACCCAACAGCTTGAAAATCACACTGGGTACGTGTATGTGCACACACAAAATCCCACGAGGAGATTGGAGATTGGAAAAGGGATTGTATGACATGTCCAAATCCCCTGGGGGGTAATTTCTCACTTTCCCTCTCTCTCTCTCTCTCTCTCTCTCTCTCTCTCTCTCTCCCTCTCTCTCTTGTGCGCACACACTTAAAAAAAAAAAAAAAAAAAAAGAAAAAGAGAAAAAAAATAGGAGAGGGTACAAAAGCTTTGTGGAGTTAAGAGTTTAGGTCATTAGTGGTAGTAAGGGCCAGTGGGTCATCGACTGAGAAGAGTTCTTCCTGTGTGTGGGGCTTCAATGAGTTTCAAGCACAGGTCACTGGAGCACAGCTACAGTGACACACCAATTTAAGTGAAAGGAATTATTAATACCAAGTAGTTTCAGACAATAAGCACACAAGAATGGAGATAAATTTGGGTGAAAGTGAAAGTAACGAAGTGTCTAGCATTTTAGAGACTCTGGTGGCAATAACGATGTTTTGGGGGTATTAGAAATTCACTCTCCTTGGACAATTTGCTAGGAAATTTTATGTCTCATTTATATTATGTAGACTTGCACAGGAAGAACTCTTACTCAGCAGCCCAGATGATTTTAAATAAAAGTTAAAAAAGCCAACTGATGACGAGAAATTAGTGTGGGTTACCGGTGGTAGGTGGGCCTGTTCAGCAACCGCATCGGTGACGCTGCATGACCTCAACCTTGAGGAGGGCTCTCTCTGCTGCAAGGGAGAAGACAGGAAGCATTAAGAAAATTGTATTCTTAGAAACAAGTGTTGCTAGTATAAAAAATACATATCACTCAATCCTATTCCCTGCTCCTTGATATTAACAGGTACGTAAATGAAGGAAAGAGAGCAATCTTTAAACCAGTCAAATTACCCTCCATTTTAATTCTTCGTGTTTTGAGCACACTGGGATTTTGATTGGTCCTCATAATGAGCATTCTAGTGGCCCTTTAAGGACAGAAATAAGAAGTTAGCTGTCATGCTTTCTGCTTTGGGATGCAGCTGTGGGTTACTTTAATCTGACAGGAACACAGGAGAGATAGGAAGAAATAGTGACAAATGTCTATTTAGTATTTATTGACTATTACAACCGACAAAGAATTAGTTGGATTCTAAGTCTCATGGAACTCAAACATCATCTTGTCCTGCTTTTGAAAGATCAGGCATGTATCATTTTAGCTTCAGAGTGGAGTTCAAGTAGAACTGAACAAGAATGAGGGAAACCAGATTTGAGTACCTACGTGACACCACAAATGGCAAATTTTCAGATTCTGGAGTATTTCGGATTTCAGATTAGGGATACTCAACCTGTAACTAGACATACGAACTTAATAATAATATTGAGAAAACTAGGATTTCTCTCACTTGGTTGGCTAGCAGTGTGTAATTACTGTGGTTTCTGCAGTATTTCTTTTTCTTAATAGGTTTTGAATTTATGACTTCATTGCTTATATTGCTTCCATAGCAAGAGTTTTATCAATTCAAATATTCCACGTAGGCAATCTCTTTTTTCCTGTCAATTTAGTACTGTATTTCCACCACTATGGAATTTCTCTTTTTGAAAAATATTCATAGAATTTAATATAAAACCATATTAATCAAGTAATCATGGCAACTCATAGGGTATATGGGTCAATAGTGTCTTTTAAGATAAAAACACCGTAACTCAGGGAGCACCCATTTCGAGAGCATGTATTTTATGCAGCCTTCCTATTATTTACTATAGATATGGTCACAACGAGGACTGACCTATCCAGGCTGCTGTTTCTAGCGAAGCGTCTACCACCATTTACTACAGTAGATCTTCAAGCTCAATTTCCTGAGAAGCACTGTATACACACACAGGCACTTTCTATGGGCTTCTTACTGAAGTTTTATCGTCTCAAACATGGTGGTCTTCGGGACTGATTCCCTTGCTTTTTCACTGGGGTTCAGTCCCATGAGAAGCCTTAGAAAGTCATTTTTCCAATGGCTGAGGAACCCACTTCAAGTGCTCAGGGATCTGCACTCTGGAATCCTATCATGTCTTCTATCACTCACTCAAGGCTTGTTTGGGATGGGCCAGGTAAAATACCTTGCCTCTATTTGAAATGAGAAAGACGAAGTGTGCAGGGTATGACTTCAAATGACTGATAAGGAGGTCCGATAACCTCTGATTCCACCGTAAAATACTATACCACTGTGATAAAGGTACTACTTTTATGAACCTTCTGGGTGGGAAAGAAATTTAACCACAAAGTTAAACTATTCCTTTGAGATCTATACAAGTCAAGAAGGAGCGCTGGTGGCACAACAGTGATCAGAGTTGTTTTCCAGGTTCAGATCCCCGCTCACATAGGCTAATTTTAGTATTGTCATGCTTGTCTTGGGAACAGAGGAACTTTGGCAAAAGTCAGAGCTAACCAAGAGCTAGAAAGCCCTGGGCCATTGTTTGCCTAAAAGATTCTCCTAACGTGACAAAAAATGATAAAATATCTTTTTCTTTCAAACAAGAGCAATACTTACGATCAAAGAACCGAACTGTTCGCCATTGGAGTCTGGAGTGATCTGAAGCCTTCTGCTCAGCTCCTCTGACAGCTCCTGAGGGCTGGTCCGAGACACCGGGGAGGAGGGCGGTGGGGGCAGAGCCAGACTGAGAGAGTCTCCAGTGATATTCACTTCTTCTGAAATGGTCTCCCAAGGCTTTCAAGGAAGGAGACACTGGGGTTAATGCTGGGAACTGAGGATCCTCCCACCCCGACCCCAACAAAAATATCTAAGCATAACCTTTATGATAGTTATAATTAACCTCTACTCCAGCACTTACCAGGAAGCACACAAGCTTCACAGCAACCACGAGGAAGACTGATTACTACTCCAATGAACAGATGAGGAAACCGAGGCACAGCGTAGGGTGTCCACGGTAAGAAAGCTACCAAGAGGCGGGGCCATGACAGTATGAAGCAAGGCAGAGTCTGAGCTCTTACCCCTCATACTACCACCTCTTTGAGCAGGGACTCATTTCCAGCAGTTGGTACAAAACACATGGGTTAAAACGACTTCTCGGGAGTTTATAAATGATAGCCGTGGGTTTTCTTTCACTCTGATAAGCATCCACAATGAAGGCAGCACAGATACTGTGCACTGCAATTAAACACTCATATAAAGTGACGTTTAGTGAATTCACTATGAACTCACTAATTTTGCTTTTCCAGTTTTGATATTTTGTGAATGACAGTCTTCCCAGCACAAAATTTGTTTTTGATTTTTGCCAGAGGCCGCGTGCACTTGTCCGAGAGAGAGAAAGTAAAAAATTAACCCCCAGGAAGGATGTCTACCCGCAATCCCTGCTTCTCCATTCTCCTCTCAGGATTTTAAGCATGCACGCACATGTACCCAGAATGATTTTCAAGCCACTGGGTCCGGGGCTCGAACTGTGGTCAGCCATGTGGTAGTCCAGAGCTTTGGCCACTAACCACCTGCTGGCACCATCCTAACACAATGTTTAAACAAAATTGATTTCTAGTAAATAAACAGCATGGTTAAGACAGAATGGAAATTATGCTTCTTGTTCATTTGTTGCTGAGTTCCTAAGTTTGTCCAGTAACACATGTAACCCTTTACAGAGAAAATTACAAACATTTCAATTAACCCAAATTTGTATTTTCTTGCTAACAAATCTCAGTCGAGATGTCAAAACAACTCAGTGAAAACTTGTATGTGATGCCCTAACAAGTTACAGGGCTCATCCAACTGCTCAAATATGGTCACCACTTAATGAGACATGGTTGGACTCCAGAGAAAAATAAATGACAAGGTAAAAATACTTCAAGATTTTCACACTAGAAATAATGTCACTCCCTTCCGTAATGATAAAGAGCCACCTGTACCTTTCAAATGTGGCTCTCATAAGCACTTGCTAAATTAATATTGAGATGGTAATCCATTAACTATGAGGCCATATCACTTTCACATTCTAGAAAATGTTTATAAGAGAAGAAACGCTGACATAAAATCCCTCTAGGAACAAGAAAAGAACAAGCTGCAGAGCTTGGCAGCAGTTGGGGACATCATACCTCAGGGGCCTCGCCGCCTTCTGAGGACTCAGGCTCTAGGTCCTCGCTGATGTGCCGGCGGGAGCGGAAGCGCCGGTGCGCCGCCTCCTGGTTGATCTGTCTGATGTTATTGTCTGACTCAGAGGACACGTCCCTGAGAGCAGGTCGGGTTAGAGAAGAGGGGACATGGCATTGAGAACTGGCCCTTCAACAGCAGCACGATTCTCACTACTGGTTGGACACTCCTATAATGTCAGCATCGACCATTGACCATTAGCTGGTCATCAAACAGGAGCATGTCCACCGTATCCTGGCTAAAGTATATCAAACTTATACCCATCAAGTAAGTACAGCCTCCCCCCTCCCCACACACACACACCCCATATAGGGTCTGTGCACTTGCTGGAGAGACAGAGAAAGAGAAAGTGAGAAATCACTCCCCCCCACCAGGTGGGATGGCCATGCCATAATCTTTCTCCTCCATTCTTCTCTAGGGATTTTGGTCATGCACGCGCATGCACCTAGTGTGAGTTTCAAGCTACTGGGTCTGGAATTCGAACCATGATCCATCATGTGAGAGTCCAGCATTTTAATCACTATGCCACCTGCTGGCCCCAATAAGCATAGTTTTAAGATGTACCAGTCATAGTATATGAGCATCTTTCAAACATGTGCTTGAAAATGTATTTAGTATTTAAGAAAGAGCAGAAATCATAGTCTTCCACCCAGGGTGGAAGGGTCTGGAAGCATGCTCTGTTGGAAATATTAGAAAATTTAATAGTGGGGCCGGCTCAGTGGCCTGGTAGTTAAGGAGCTGAATCCTACAGAGCCAACTGCGCAGTCTGAATTCTGGTCCAGGTAGCTAGAAAAACACGCTGGAGCATGTGTGCGTGCCCCAAATCCGACAGGATGGAGGCATGGAGAAGTGACTGCCATGTGACAGTGCGCCATTGGAGGGCGCTCCCTCCTTCTTCTTGTCTCTCTGTCTTTGGCAAGTACACATGCCCTCTGGCAAAAGGAAGGAAAGAAAGGAAAAAGCAAACCTAATAGTGTATTTTTGATGTTATGTTCCTACAGTCATTTTTATGACATTCGATTCTTAACCACACAATGATTATATAAGGTAAGTCGTTAGAGAACAGAAGAAAACTGGAAGATATCAGAATGCATTGATAAGTAAAGTATTTCAGTAGTGCCTAAGAAGGCAAAGGAGACAGTATGGTCCCTCTCCATCACTTCTGAGTAAGGATGAAAGCAATCTCATTGTATAATGATCAGCCTCACTTGAAATTATTTTACATGCCAGAGTTTTATTAAAATTTGAGAAATTTCCCTTGAAATGTCAGTTTCAAGTGGGGCTGATGGGTGCGTGGTGGTTAAGGGTGCTGGACTCACATGGTTGACCACAGTTCAAGTCCTGAACCTGGAGGCTTGCTTTCAAACTTTCCTTCTCTCGGTCTCACTCTCACTGTGTCCCTCTCTAGACAAATTAAAACAAGTAAACAAATAAAGTTAAATAATTCTTTTTAAAAAAAATGTCCGTTGTGGCTTTTATTTAATCCCCACAGAAGGACTAATCTTTGTGAGCCTGCTATGAGCCCAATGCTCCTTGAAGTTTCCCAAGGCCCTGTGACAGGCTGAGAAGAGCAAGGCTTTAACATTACTGTGGCTGCAGTTTGCGTCCTTTGGAAGTGTATAGAATTTCGTTGTCCAGGAAGGACTGACTTAAAGGGGAAAAAGGGGCATGTTTAAAACCAATTACGGTGATCAAATAAACAGCATAAAAAGCAAGATACCTTCTAGTTTGAAATTCCAACTAGAGGCTTTTATGGGCTTAAGTGGTAACACAAAAACATCCACAGCAGTGGCCCTTCTGCCTTTAACTCTGCAAGTTAGTGAGAGGCTGCTGAGACTGACTCAAAGTTCAAATGGCCACTGATGGCATGGGAAGATGGCCATTTAAAAATACTTCAGAGGTGGCAAATAAAAACAGAAATGTGATTTTTTTATTTGAGCAAGAAATAATTTAAGAAATGGCTACTTCAATTTTCTTTCAGGCATTAATCTGCACGTACATTCTCCATTTAACATTCATGGGAAATGACACAAAAGAGAAGAGAAACCATCTGTCTACCAAGAAAGCGAGCTCAGTGCCAGTTAAAACCAGGGAGTCTGGGACCAGCAGTTAGCGTAATGGCTATGTCGCTGGACTCCCACGTAGTCGACCGAGGTTCATGTCCCGGACCCGGTGGCTTAAAACTCACGCCAGGCGCGTGTGCGTGTGTGCCCAAGATCCCGAGAGGAGAATGGAGGAGAAAGGATTGTGGCGTGGCCATCCCCCCTGGGGGGTGATTTCTCGCTTTCTGTCTCTCTGTCTCTCTCTGTCTGTCTGGTGAGCGCACACACACTATGACAAAAACCTCTCAAAAAAAACAGAAAAAAAAAAACAAAAAAAACAATAAAACCCAGAAAAAAACCCCAGGGTGCCAGAGTTCCATGCACACCACCATGGTGCCTGTGATGCTGACCTGAGCATCGGACCTGAGAGACTGAATCTCACATAGCCCACTGTGAGGTTGGAATCCTGGCCCAGGTGGCTAGAAAAACACAACTGCTGGGTCAGAAGTTGAACGGGGTGTTTGTAAGAAGATGGGTTAAAGAACCCAGCAGGTGGTGTGGTGGTTGAGGTGCTAGACTCCAGACATAGCCAACCATGGTTTGAGTCCTGGACCCGGGGGCCCCAAAATCACACCAAGCACATGTCCAAAATCCTAGGAATAGAATAGAGGACAAGGGATTGTGGTACGGCCATCTTCCTTAGGGAGGTGATTTCTCACCTTCCCTCTGTCTCGCTCCTCTCTGGTGAGTGCACTCATTCTATGGCAAAACCTTAAAAAAAAATGAAAAAAGGAAGAGAGGCTAAAAATTAAGTGTTTAAAGACTTTATTTTATCTGCAGGATATCATAATTTGTTTTATCTTTTTTTTTTCTCTTTCTTTTTGCCATAGAGTACATGTGCTCCCCAGAGAAAGAGTTGCAGGGGGTGGGAGTTGTGAGAAATCACTCTCTGGGGGGATGGCCAAGCCCCAATCCTTCTCTTCAATTCTTCTCTAAAGATTTTTGGGCACACACATGTGCACCCAGCAATTTTTTTTTCAAACCAGTGAATCCCAGATTTGAACTCCTCAGTTGCCATGAAGGAGCCAGCCACCTCAACCACCATACCACCAAGCTGGCCCCTTCATCATTTTTAATAACTGTTGCTTGCATAGTAGGAGGTGTACAGCTTACATTTAAATGGACTAAGGAGAAATCTAAAATTAGGGGTGTCCTGCCAGACTTGAGTGGACTGGGGTACCGTCTCTGGTCACCTTCCACTCTGAAGTTCTGAGTCGAGCTCTAACCCTGGCTTAGACAGGTCACTAAGCCTCGTGCCTATGAGCACTTTCTGAAGCAGCCCATTTGTAGTCGTTCACTCCTTTAAAATGTGTTTGCTGAGCTCCTACTTTGTGCTGGGGATAATAACATATGGTCTCAGCTTACACAAACGATTAGAATATTACCTGCTCAAAATAAAAGCACATGGTGTCTGAGATCAGGAGAGAAGAGGTGGGTTTCCCCGAGGAAGGCCTGTTAGCTGAGAGTCGAAGTTAGCCTGGGAAAGGGCATGTCCAGGTTTTTGGTTTGGGGGTGGGGACAGGGTCTTACTGTGTCCACAGGACCCAGCAAGAACAGCTATCAGAGAGCAGTCATGCATGGACAGGCCATGAACGAAGTATCTGCTTACGACTGTGGGTGGCGAATTCAGCAGAAGACCAGGGTAAAGAAGGGCCTTGAAAGAGTACCCTGAGGGCACTGGGAAGCCGGTGATAGAACAAAACCTCTATTTTCAGTGGGATGAAGTTTGGGGCACAATTCATAACAAACTGGGCAGGAATGAAAGTTGCCTCAATTCTCTGCTTAGCACATGGTAATCACCATCCAATTTCCTTCCATACTGCCTTTTAATAAAGATACCAAAGACTTCTTGTAGAAAATATGAGTTTATTTAGTGCCAAAAAATCTGCAATGTATGCATAGTTTTTTCCTGATAGGATTTTTAATGAACATTTCAAAGACCCTAGTACTTTTTTTAAAGTCATTATCAGTTTTCCTCCTAAAGGGAACTTTAGCATTTGGTTAAAAACCAAATTAGGAAACAGTTACTTTTCAATGAAAACTATTCTTGGAAATGATTCTGAGAATTTGTGACCAGAGCAAATAAAGTTAAGGAGAAAGAATTCCAAATCCATAAGCCATTCTGATAGGATGAAGAGGCTATTGTGAAAACCAACGCATTTTCCTCATCCACCTTTTCACTCGCTTTCTAGGAGTCACGCCCATCCGGAAGGAGGCACTCCTTGGTTCCACTCGGGGTTCTGCTGACGTCTGTCTTGGCTCACTCCCTCCTGCTGACATTGTTGTCTTCCGGATGGGGACAGTCATGCCACTGACTTCCCCCTAAACTACACCTGAACCTGAACTTGGATTAAAAACAGCATTTTCCCCTTGCTGCATCTGGACAAGCGATGTGCCAGCATTCTACAGCGGTATCTTTTGCTTTGGTTTGGTTCTATAGGAGGCTCCCACCAAAAATGGTATCATTTTTCTAACAACTCAGTTAGGTATGATTGACACATAAAAAGCTGTATATATTTAATACAGACATCTCAGGGCTAGCCAATGCCATAATGGTTATGTTGCTAGACTCACACATAGTTGACTGTGGTTCGAGTCTCGGACCTAGCCACTTAAAACTCATGCTGAGTGTGTATGCGTGCATGCCCAAGATCCCAAGAAAAGAATGGAGGAGAAGGGATGGTGGCGTGGCCAACCTACTGGGTAATTTCTCCCCCTCTGTCTCTGTGTCTCTCCAGCCAGTGCATATACCCTAAAGCAAAAATCTTTCTAAAAAAATGTATATAGACATCTCGATGACTTTGGGAATAACTTATACACCCGTGAAACCATCCCAAAGTGTGAAGTGTCAGCACAGGAATTCCCTCGCCAAAATCAACACTAGGAGGTGGGAAAAGTAGCCATTATCCCTATTCATCCCCAAAATAGAGATGTCAATTTGTTTGACTTGGTAATGAAGCTGAACATTTTCTATATATGTGTTATAGTTGTTCCTATTTCTTCCTTTGTAAGTCACCTTCCTACTGGTTACCTTCCTATAGAGGTCGCAGGACAGGCTGGTCTCCACAGAGTGCTACCTCTTCAAGTACCGTTACTGATGTAGTTAGCAAAGGCAGGTGGTGGTGCTTGGCTCAGGGTGTTGCGACCAGGATTTCATCAGCTGATCCCTGCATGTAACCCACTTCAAGGTAGGTCCAAAGTCATTTTTGCTACAAACAGCTACAATGGCTTACGGGAGTTTTAATAGCTACAGTGATTAATCAAAGGGATATAGTAAAAAATAAATAAATAAAAATTTAACAAAACCATTTCCACTTATATTTCAATGAGAAAGACTTTTCTTTTAGAAAGAGATTTTTGCTATAGGGTGTGTGCATTTTCTGGAGAGACAGAGACAGAAAGTGAGAAATCAACCCTTTACTCTAGGGGGCCATGCCACAATCCCTTCTCCTGTATTCTCCTCTCAGGATTTGGGGCATGAACACACATGCACTCGGCATGCATTTTAAGTCGCCCGGTCTGGGGCTTGAACCGTGGTCAACTATGTGGGAGTCCAGCAACATAACCATTATGTCATCAGCTGGTCCCACAATGGGAGACTAACAGAGTAGTCAACGTTTGTCAGGAGTTGAGATACGTATGCTGTCCTGGACAATGAGCTGATGCCCACGCTGGGAAAGCTGACTAGGGACAGCTAAAATTCAGGAGAACCCAACTGGGGCTAGGGAAGATCAGCGATCTTTTGTTTCCAGGTTCTGCAAACTTTTCTCTAAATTAAATTAAACAAAGCCTAGACCAGATAACCTGGCCACCTTCCCCTAAGTCCTATATAGAACTTCTTTGCGATTTGTAAAAACAAAGGGGTTTTTAAGAACACCATCCATCATATGGCTAATACAACTGCTTAAAAAGCATCAGCAAATTTCCTCCAAAGTCTGGTTAAAGAGAAAATTATGTCACCTAGTATATTTGCTTTTATTCTGTTCTACTGAAATATACTTCATTGATAATTACCTCCTTGTCTTGGCTGCTGGGAAGCTCATGATTTCTAGAATGTTTCCTTTTGCTTAATACTTTTTTTTTTACCCTTTAGAGTATATCCGTAGATATAGATCTTAGTGAATAGAGATTTAAACAACAAAGTGCTTCAAGACTATTTTTATAGCGGTTGAGGTTTAACTGGTGTTTATTTGCTATCAATTAAACCAAAAATTGCTCAGGGAACAAAACAGTAATCGGTTCACTGCCTCCCCGAGGGCTGCTGAGAGATTAAAATAAACAGTAATTACTAATTTTGATTTTGCAACCCTCCATGTGTTTCTAATTATATCAGGGGTGTAACATATAAATTTCTCCCAAAATTAAAAAAAAGTTTCTGGGAGGGTTTCCAAATCAAATAATAAAGGGAATAAAAATCCAAACACTTAAAACAGAAAACTGCAAAGCCAATTTGTTTGCTGCTTTGCCTTCTGGGTCAGTTAGGAGAGGATGCTAAAGAGGGAAACAATACAACCACCAATCGCAAGACTAGAAAAGCAACCTGTTTCATATTTCGGGGATCTATGTAAAGACAACACACAAAGTACTCCCGGTCTTATTGGGAACGGCAGCAGTGGAGACGAAAGCTTCCTCCCTAGAGTGCACACTGTCTCGTGCCCTCTGCCTACAGGAAGAGGAATCCCGTGGCACGACACAAACACCCGCTTTTGCTGGTGTCATGTTCTTTCCCAGCCTCATCCCAGCAAGCTGCGTGTCCCCATCAAGCTGCGTGTCCCCATCAAGCTGCGTGAAGCATAACCGCACGCTCCTCACTACCGTAGAGTACTCACATTAAGCTGGGTCGGTGCCACTGAGTGGTCCGGTTGTTGTGGTTGACGTAGTAAGTACGGCCTAAATTGTCCACTTTTTCTTCCCACCCGGGGGGCAGAGGAGGAGGAGGAAGCTCCTCCTGGTGCTGAGAAGCTGAGTCGTTGGAGTCGACGACTTCCCACCCATGCTGTGGAATAAAGCAGAATGGCGGGTTGAGAGGTTGGCTCTCTAGGCGTGAGGCAGAGGCAAACGCAGGGCATCCCACGTCCTTCCCTGCTCTGCTGCACTCCGGCCCTTGCGATGGCTTTACGTGCTATGTTGGAGGAAATTTCCCCAAAAGGGTAAAATATCAAATCTAGAAGCAGTTCTCAAAACTCTTCTAGCAATGGCCAACTAACTGCACTGCTTTCTAAGAGGACTCCATTGCAGGGAACAACACAGATTTGACTACGCACAGTCTGTGACCTAAGTCCCATTATATTCTTCATATTTCATGTTTGTTATTTTGACTTGAAGGCTTCCAGGGCCTCACAAAGCCATGCCAATGACATGGGTCATGTTACAACTGTTGTCTTTCAACACCTCCATAAGGTAAACGGGAGCAGGGAAGACGAGCCATCTCGTACGTGTGTCCTAACAGGAACATGGCATGGGGGGCTGGGGGCCCAGGGCTCTATGGCTCCCCAGGGAGGGTGACACCCAGGTGGGCTCTGTGAGGAGGTGCCGTCTTCACTCTGCATCTAGTACAATCGCAGGAGCCAGAAGTCTGGAAGCTGCTGCTCTCGACTTCAGCTGCTGCCACCAAAACAGGCTTCCGGGTACCAGAGGTAGGGTTACATTTTTGCAACGCATAGTTTAGGCATTAGGTATTTCTTTCCTAACATCCTTAGTAAAGTCACTGGAAAATTAAGTAATTCACTGGTTACTGCGGTTGGAAGGCCAGGGGAGTGTAAAAAATTTCTTGGATCCGAGATAAAAATCTGTTGATATGCTTATGAAACCTTAACATTCACAACTGTCTACCACCCACTTCACTCCTCTTCAAGTACGTGGAGAGATGAAAGTTCACAGATGAAGTACTGCCTGGAAATACGACCTCTCAGCCACAGGGGTTTTGGTTAGCTTGCCCGTGAACCATGACTCACATATCACGTATATGCAACAGCTGCAACCAGATGTGGAAATACCCCATAAAGAGGCCTTGTTTAATGGACACTCCCAGAACAATATGAGAATTTAGCTAACAAAACAACACTGGCTGATCCATGCCCTGAGAAGGTAGAACAGCCCCCCAGGTATTAGCGTGTGACCTGAGAGTTGAAAGGCAGCAATGCAGAGAGGGAGGAAAAAGGAAACGCCCTTGGACAGCTAATGCTAAAACAGCATTTCCAGAGGAGGGCTTCTGAATGCATACTTCTACCTACGGGCCAAAGAAAAAGAAACTTGGAAAAGATTTCTAAACCACTTCATCCACTTGGAAGCAATGTCAAGTGCTATAAGAAATTTACAAAGAACTGTGAGTTCAAATAATAATCGAATACAATGTGTGAGAAGTTCACCTAGTAGCGGGTGAGCAATAGAATATGGGTGTAGCTATCCCAAGAGAAATCTCTTCAATTACTGGCATTACAACGGAAAATGAAAAACTCCATCTGTTCTTACTAAACAAAGGTGCTCACAGACTATCAAAGACTCTTGAATGTATTTAGGTTTTTGCATATTCAAGCTTTTATTTCCTTCAGTTATAAAGTATCATAGTGACATACGAGTTGCGTTTTAGGCAGAGAGCAGACCAAGGTCTGGAACAGACACCGCCTGGTCCTAAAAAGGAACTCACATAAGTAGCTAATTAATCCTTTGATCTTAGAATTCATTTCTGCTTACCTCCATATCGTCCCTCTGTTCACTGTTTTCTTCATCTTGACCTCCATTTTTCGGCATATAGGCCATTTTCAATCGCAAAAATCCCTTAACTCGAGATTTATGACTGCATAATAGAAAACCACTGGTTATAAAAAAATGACTCAGTAACATATTTCATTTTTTTCTTTTTAAGAGATTTTTGCTATAGGGTGATGTGCTTGCCAGAGAGAGAGAAAGCCAGAAATCACCCCCGGGGAGGATGGTCATACTGCAATCCTTTCTCCTCCATTCTCCTCTTGGGATTTTGGGCACACATGCACACATGCCCGGCATGAGTTTAAGCTACCGGGTCTGGGTCTTGAACCGCGGTCGACTATGTGGGAGTCCAGCAGAACAATATGAGAATTTAGCTAACAAAACAACACTGGCTGATCCATGCCCTGAGAAGGTAGAACAGCCCCCCAGGTATTAGCGTGTGACCTGAGAGTTGAAAGGCAGCAATGCAGAGAGGGAGGAAAAAGGAAACGCCCTTGGACAGCTAATGCTAAAACAGCATTTCCAGAGGAGGGCTTCTGAATGCATACTTCTACCTACGGGCCAAAGAAAAAGAAACTTGGAAAAGATTTCTAAACCACTTCATCCACTTGGAAGCAATGTCAAGTGCTATAAGAAATTTACAAAGAACTGTGAGTTCAAATAATAATCGAATACAATGTGTGAGAAGTTCACCTAGTAGCGGGTGAGCAATAGAATATGGGTGTAGCTATCCCAAGAGAAATCTCTTCAATTACTGGCATTACAACGGAAAATGAAAAACTCCATCTGTTCTTACTAAACAAAGGTGCTCACAGACTATCAAAGACTCTTGAATGTATTTAGGTTTTTGCATATTCAAGCTTTTATTTCCTTCAGTTATAAAGTATCATAGTGACATACGAGTTGCGTTTTAGGCAGAGAGCAGACCAAGGTCTGGAACAGACACCGCCTGGTCCTAAAAAGGAACTCACATAAGTAGCTAATTAATCCTTTGATCTTAGAATTCATTTCTGCTTACCTCCATATCGTCCCTCTGTTCACTGTTTTCTTCATCTTGACCTCCATTTTTCGGCATATAGGCCATTTTCAATCGCAAAAATCCCTTAACTCGAGATTTATGACTGCATAATAGAAAACCACTGGTTATAAAAAAATGACTCAGTAACATATTTCATTTTTTTCTTTTTAAGAGATTTTTGCTATAGGGTGATGTGCTTGCCAGAGAGAGAGAAAGCCAGAAATCACCCCCGGGGAGGATGGTCATACTGCAATCCCTTCTCCTCCATTCTCCTCTTGGGATTTTGGGCACACATGCACACATGCCCGGCATGAGTTTAAGCTACCGGGTCTGGGTCTTGAACCGCGGTCGACTATGTGGGAGTCCAGCGATGCAACCATTATGCCATCTGCTGGTCCCGTACATCTTTCACATTTATGGTGACTGCTGAAATCGTCCTCTGAGAAAACCAATAACCGAAGTACGCAGGATAGGCAGCTAGACAGCTCCCCAAAACCCACACCCCTGGGCCTCACCTTCTTGGTCTGAGGAGAAAGTCTTTAAATGTATAGGGCCGCTCCATGGTTGGGTCTTCTGTCTATAGGAAGAAAAGCAGATTAAGTTCTGAAACTCCTGACCAGCTTGTATTTTAGATACACCAAACTAGATTACAGAGAGTATACTAGTGTACTTCAGAACATGGCAAGGACAAAAAAGGAGCTGATTTCTCTGCTGGTCCCAGACAATTCATCCAACCTTTGATGGGTCATGGAGTTTCATCTACCGAAGATCCACTAGATGTCACTCTCCACGTTGGGCTTTAGGAGCCAACCCCAGCCATAGACAAATGACAAAATTACAGCCACCCTTGCCAAGTGTAATTTCTGACTGCAGGGTGTGGCATCAGACACAGAGCTGATTACTCCAGAACCAGTGGTCACTGGGCCTTGTGATTTTCATGCCTCAAGAAATCTAAAAGTGGAGCGAATGGGAGAATACACAAGATCTAATCTCTGAAGGCGTTTCTTAGTTTTTCACATTAAATACCACATTGTCAGCCTAACAAAACAGAAAGACTATCTCTTGTACAGAAATCATCCTTGACGGGACCACCGCTAAGTCTCTGCTGGGGCCTTTTTCATGAAGCTATTCAAGCAGCTGGGGTATTTGTTCATTTTAAAAGAAATCAGTGTTCGTTTTGCTGTGCAAGGTTGGTTGGCTTAACAAAAGGGGAAATTAAAACCATGCTACAATTTTATTTATTTTAAAATGCTATGTGTAGTAAAACCTCAAATATCAAGTAGGCCCTTCGGTTAAATACAAATCAAAAAATGTACTTATATAGTAAAAGTGACAAGCCACAATATAGTAATTTATTACACTAGGTATGTGTGTATGTGTACACACATTTATATTTTAAACACTATCTGCTATGCCATTTCTCTCCTTAAACTCCCAATGGCTTCCTACTGTTTTTATAATAAAACAAATTTTTTCCCCTATGACCACATAAGACAAATATGGTCTGGCTTCTGACTACCTTTAACTTCACTGAATCGGTCTGCTCACTTGTCATTCTCCAACCATCCTGGCCTCATCTGTCATGTGTCACACTAAATCCTGCGGCAGGGTCCATGCGCTGGCAGATCTTTCTACTAACAGCTCTGACTGCAGAAGGCATAGTCGTCTCCACTCTGTCATCCAGGTCTGAGACCCCAGGTCACACCCTCAGAGTTTTCATCTTAAATCACCACCATCAGCCCGCTTATCAGTCTCTATCATATTACCCTGCTTTCTCTTCTCCTTAGCAGCCTCTGCAATAATCTGGTTCATTTATTTATTTGTCTATCATTCATCGCTTCTAGCATGTAAGGACATGAGATCAGAGACATGGATTTGCTCACCATTGTATTGCTGTTGCCAAGAACATTGCCTGGCACTAAGTAGGCATTTGCTTAAGTGCTGATTAACGCACTTGACCTACAGTAAACTACTCAGGCCCTAAAAATTCACCTTAACTGAAGAAATTCAATGATACATTCTAGACTGTTTTTTTTTTTTTTTACCAGGACAGTAAACAGACAGTTTGATAATATTTTCTACAATAAAATGCTTTCAAGTTATATAATTTATAATAGAAAATTTATTAATCAAGGATACTATTGCATCCCTTCCTTTTTTTCACTTATTCAACCAATAAATAATTTTAGAGTAACACCATGTGAGATGCATGTGGCACCTCAGGATAGCAGCTAACAGCTAGAAACTGAGGCAGAACATGCTCACTGACATTAGTGGTTGCATTCATGAGTCTTGGGGTAAATGGAAGAGATTGATTCTGATTTGGGGACTGGAATTCGAGTTTTGGATGAGTGGCACCATCCAGATGAAAAAGAAGGTAGAGGACTGGGAGGGCCATTAAGTTAAAAAAAAAATCAAATAGCACGTGAAAAACAATATGGAGGTTCCTCAAAGATCTACAAATAGAACTACCATTTGATCCAGCAATCCCACTTCGGGGTATCTACCCAAAGAACAGGAGAATGCTCAGTTGGAAAAGCGCTTGCACATCAATGTTTTCTTGTGCCATTATTCATGATCGTTAACACATGGAACCAACCCAAATGTCCACAAACAGATGAATGGATTGAAAAAGTGTGGCATATATACTCTATGGAATACTCTTCAGCCATAAAAAACCAACAAGACCATGGCATTTGATAGAAAGTAATTGAATATGGAAGATTTAGTGCTGAGTGAAGCAAGCCGGGCTATGAAAGAAAGCTATTGTGTATATACATACTGACTATCCATTCTCTATGGTAGAGATGAAATACTGGAGGGCCATAAAAGCAGTGAAAATAGTTATGGATGCTGAAGACAAGTGTCGAATGGGGGGAGGGAAGAAAGGAAGAGTGTAGAGAAGGAACGTAGGAGAAAAATAGGCATGACATTTGTGAGACACAGAAATGGTTTATTACTTGATAATATGTACAGTATTACATATTATATCTTAACTGGACTGGTCTGAGAAGTATTACATGTTAGGTAAATTCTCTTTACAAGTCAAACAATGTAAAGCAAGTGAATATTAAAAAATAAAGAATAAAAAATAATAATCTGAAAAAAAAATGAAAAGCTATTTGCTGCTGCTGATGTGGATAGTAAGGTCTTTGTCTTGACTGATATGCATGGTAGTCGTGCTGGAAAAAGAAATGTTATACGGGGAACCAGCAGTTAGCGTAATGGCTATGTCGCTGGACTCCCACGTAGTCGACCGCGGTTCACGTCTCGGACCCGGTGGCTTAAATCTCATGCCGGGCGCGTGTGCGTGCGTGCCCAAGATCCCGAGAGGAGAATGGAGGAGAAGGGACTGCGGCGTGACCATCCCCCCTGGGGGGTGATTTCTCGCTTTCTGTCTCTATGTCTCTCTCTGTCTGTCTGGCGAGCGCACGCACCCTATATTTGGCGCCATCCCCTCTTGGGGATGATTTCTCACTTCCTGTCTCTCTGTCTGTCTCTGCCTTTCTGGCGAGTGCACGCGCCCTAGAGCAAGAACTCTCAAAAAAAAAAAAAAAAAGAAATGTTATACGCTATAAAGATATATGTGATTAAATATAGTACAAAAAATAATCATTAAAAAAATAAAGTATTTCTTGAGCACTTGGAACAAAAGAAATCAAACAGCACAAACAAAGCCTCCCGTTCCTGCCTGAGGAATCCAGGAGCAGCAGAGCACACACAAGACAGTGAACAGGGGAAGGCACAGAGCTCAGAGGGACTCGGATTGTGGCCCTGTTCCTGTGCTATGGAGTTTACATGATGAACACCACACAGATGAAGGGGCAGATCTTCTAGGACTGATTCCCGGCTTTGTTAACTCATGGAACCACACGGCCCAGGGCCAATTCTTACCTCTGCGTGTCTTCATATGTAAGATGGGGCAGCAATCGTACCACACAGGGTTGCTGTGAACATTAAACCGCTCAGCTAGCTGGGACATAAAGTCTCACGAGAGTGCCTGGCACAGGTAACGGACACTAACTACTACCATTAGCCAACTCTACTATGTTCGTGTCACTTGTATTTCTAACTCAATGCCATGCAATAAAAGGTGGAGTATTAAAAATGAAAACGGATCTTCATGGACATTCTCTAGCTAAACAAGAAGATGATCTTGTGGGTAACTATAAAATTCTTAGCATTTACCTAGGTTCCAATCTGATGTGTTCCCTGGAGGAAAGGGGAATTGTGCCTCCCGTGATAGCATTGAGGGTGCTCGTAGAGAAAAGCCATCTCAGAATGATGGCAACAATACTGGTGGCCCAATGGTAAAGAAGCTGCCTCCCGTCCCAGGACGCAAGCGTTGAAAAGAAAATCTTATATGTCCATGGCATGTCTGTCTTAAAGAGAGTAGCTGCTTTTAGCAGAGGGGCAGTCACTAGGACTTGGAGTGACAAGAGGGAAGTCGGGTCTGATTTTCACATGTGCCATCCAATGTGGGAACCACCTGCGGGTTCAGATGGATTGTTAATTAAAATGAAATAAAATGGTAAGTCCAACTCGTCCGTCACACCAGGCACGTTTCGAATGCCTAGCTGCCATGTGTGACTACTGTCCTGGGCAGCACTAAGCCACGAGAGGGAGGAACCGGCCCCCCGATCCCTCCCAGAGAGTCAATTAATATTTGTTGAGGGAATAAATTTTCAATCAGTTAATGGGGCCAGATCAAATCAACTACAGACTATTTCTTATTCAAAAGGCTTGGGACTAGAAGTGTCATAGTTTGAGATCTTCCAGGATTTTGAAACATGTCATATGTAAAAGATCTTGGGGATGGAATTCCAGTCAAGACATGAAATTCGTTTATGTTTTCCAGGATTTTGAAACATGTCATATGTAAAAGAGATCTTGGGGATGGAATCCTAGTCAAGACATGAAATTCGTTTATGTTTCATAGACACTTTATACAGAGAGCCTGAAGGTAATCCGACACAAGATTTTTGTACTGCAGAATTTTGACTGTGAATGGACACATGAAGTGAGGAGTAGAATTTTCCACTTGTGGTCTCATATCGGTACTCAGAAATTTTCAGATTTTGGAGCATTTCAGATTTTGGGTTTTTGGATTAGGGATGCTCAACCTGTAATAATCAAACACTAACAAGATTCTTTAAACCTGGAAAAGGCTTGGGTGTGTTGGCAAGGGCAACTTTACCATGTGTCTGCTTTCCACTGTCTTCCCTCATTACTGGGATTTTCTTCATCTTTCTATTTTATCTAAAATTTGTTAATTTTGACAAATACTGGATCCACAGGTCATATATAACCTGCCCTAACTAAGGTCATATAGCTATCAAAATAAATAAATAAATAAAAGGCATCCATTATACTCCAAAAAATACACTCAAATGCAACAACACTGCAACTTAACCACAAGTATCTTACACATGCAACAGAATATACACATGAGAGACTTCAAACCCAAAGGTTGAAGGTTACGTCCATTCAGAAGATGTTACTTGGGATTTACCACTACATGGAGGACAAAAAATGTATCCTCACTCCTCTCCACTTTCCTAAGCATAGCTGGCTCCAATAAACCAGGCAATTTTAAGAATGGGTATTGGGGCATGGGCTCTCCAGTGCAAGCCAGTCCCTGGGACATGCATAGCTGGGAGGACCCATTATTCAACTGACGTAGCCCATGTTGAAGGACTCAGAATGCTGCCTTCTATCCTAGCCCTGAGATTTGGCACCACTTCTGTCTTTGAAAGCTCACTGACCCGGCCTTTATCCAAAGCCAAAGCTGAACTATTCCCTCCAATGGTCTGCTCTCTGAAGAGGCACATTCTTCTGCTCTCTGGGAACCCTTCCCAACCTTGGAAAACCAGCACCACTCAATCACTCCAACTTGTCACAGCAGATTTTTTTTTAAAAATTCACTTTTGTCTCTTAGAGAGGATTAGTAAATAATTTCTCTTAGCCAAGATGTGGTTTTAAAATGAGGGAAAAAGGTGTCTGGGATACCCGTAAAAGAACTGGCCAGTCAACCAACATTGTCTAGTGGTTTAGAATAGTTTCAACCAAAGAGCACACACAGAAGGGCCTTCTGATGGAAGACCATGAGAAGGGTCTTCCCTTGAAAATGTTGGGCCATCTGTATCCTCTCCATGGGATTTGAAAAGGAAGATTAGGCTTCTGTTGACGTATGGAATCCACAAAAGTGCACGCACATAGGCACACACATGTGGGCACATATGTGCAGGCACACGCGTACACAGCCTCCTGTAGCTCAGAGCTTCCGGTTTTTATACAGAAATAAACAAAACTATTTTTATGTTATCACTTTGCCTCCACACCTTTGGAAAGGAACACACTTGACACCTTCCTTATGAAATAGCTCCCCTGAGTAAGGAAGAGTAAATTGCTTGCTATCACCTTCCTTCACAACACATCTTAATGCATCCTTGTAAGATACCCTCTCTTAGAATATTACATATGGTAGCAGCCACAGTTTTGTTTTTATTTTGTCAGAGAACACACGCACTCATTAGAGAGGGATGGGGAGAGGGAGAGGGAGAGGGAGAAAGCACCCCAGAAAACATGGTCATGCTACAATACCTTTTCCATTTCTCCTTCCTGTTGGGATTTTGGGCATGCACACACATGCACCTGGTGGGTTTTCAAGCTGCCAGGGCCAGGATTTAAACCACATGATTGGCTGTCTGGGATCTGGCTCCCTTAACCCATCAGGCCATGGGGTCACACTTTTCACACAAGAGATCGTCACTAGATGGTTTAAGCCACTTTGTAGATTATTTATGCTACTTGCTTACACAAGACATTTAAAACAAAATGAAACACGATGGCCTTGTAAAAGCAGGAACACGGGACTTTCCTCTATTAGCTGCTACTCATTCACCTTGTGCTGCCCAGGGGACAAGGCAAGGAGGCGTAGAACAATGTGGAAAACGGAAGCTGGGATATGAGATGAGCCACCTTCCTAAGGCCACCAGCTCTCGTTCCACATTCCACCTAGCTGCCTCATGTTGCGGTGGCACCCCTAAGCTCAGTTACTATTCCACAGCCTCTGTGTTCTTCATCTGAGCAGCCAGGAGTGGCAGCAACACCGCACGGGCATGTTCTGAAGGGAGGGTAGGTGTTTCAGCTGATGAGACCACTCAGAATGAACAGTGTCTCTGCTCTTGTCTCCCTGCCGGCAGAGAAAGCCCTAAACCAAAATCTGCGAAACACTAAATTCTATGGATATATCTGGGCTAGTGAACAACATGTGCAATTCCATTTGAAGGGAACAATCATCTCACCAGACCGAAGCATGAACTTAGAAGCACAGACAGTGACAAGGAGGGCTTTGACAGAAGGACCAGGTGAACTGGTAAAATGGGACCCTGACAGATGGAGTAGCTAAAGAGCAGAAGGGGAGAGCTGGGGGCTGGTGCCACTGGCAGGAAGGCTCGAGTTTTACAATCACGTTACCCTCTATCCCTTCAAAGGACCACGTCTAGAAGGGAGTCAGACCAGCACACCCCCTCTTCATTTCAGCTTTCTCCATTCAGGTGAGGAAATGGCACTCTGAAAGTGCACGGACCACAATCACACCTGCAGCCCACGATACGCAACAGGCAGCACGTAACCGTCCTTACCGGAAGATGACTGAGGGGCACGTCCACCTGGCCCAGGAAGTCGTCTCGTGTCTGTTAAGAAGAAAGAAAGAGTTAACGTTCCCATGTGCTCACTGAGTGTCCGTGTTTCTCAAAGACATTCTACTACAAATACAAAGGGATGAAGGGCCAAGGCCCCACGCTAACACAGCAGGGAGAGTGGGAGGCAGGAGCCACGGCAAGGCACACATCAGGTCCCCCAGAAGACCCTGCACCTGGCTGTTGGCTGTCTGAGCAGCAGCTTGGAGCCCACCAACAGAAGGAACAGGAAGGATTCTTCTCTTGGAGTTGGGAGTGTGTGGTCAGTTGGGGAAGAGTCAGGGTTTGGGAGCAGAGCTAAGTCAGGTTTAAAGAGAGCCCAGGAAAAGAATGTACAGCTTAGCTTGGGTTTCTGGTGGTGGCGGTGGTGGTGGTGTGTTGTTTTACAGTCTCACCAAGTCACGATTCTCTTGCTCAGCCTCCCCAGCAGCTGGGTCCACAGGAACACACTGCTGCCCCCCAGCTTTCCAGGGTGGGCCAGGAATCAAACCTGGATGTCCCCTGTGGCCCCAGTCTGCCAAGCAGCAGAATCCAGCCCACACCACCACAGCTGGGCTGGGCCTGCTCACAAGTAACTCTTACACTGTACTATAAATCATCAAACAAACCAAACTGTTTTCCTTTTTCTTTGAGAGATTTTTGCTATAGGGCATATGTACTTGCTGACACACAGAGACAGACAGAAAGTGAGAAATCACCTCCCCAAGGGGGAATAGCCACACCAATTCCTTCTCTCCCATTTTCCTCTCGGGATTTTGGGGACATATGCACACGCACTTGGCATGTCAAGCCGCTGGGTCTGGGACTTGAACCATGGTTGACCATGTGGGTGTCCAGCACTGTAATCAATATGCTACCTGCTGGTCCCAACAAAACCCTTTTCTATCCAGAAAATACACTTCAGAATACACATTCATGGATTAGGTCCTGCTAACTTTTGGGTAAGTGGCACCACTGGTCTCCCCATCTACCACATGGAGTGCACCTTTCTGACTTAGAGAGATCCAGATAAAATTCACCTGGAAAGTTCACTAGCCCGCTCTAACTCTCTGGAGGTCACTGGGATGTGACAGCTCAGGTCAGGGTCATTGGTCTGGACCACAGGGTGTCTAACAGGACATGTACACAGCATGTCCTGTGGTCACCATGCTCATGGGATAGTGGCTTCTCATAGTCAGGTGACCCGAGGTGCAAGTCTGAATGTGGTTTCTATATCCTCATATGAAAATATAGTTGCTTCCGCCATATTCAAACTACATAAAAGCTAGAAAGTTCGTTAGCAATCATTAGACCTGTCCCACAGCTAGCTGGAGGAAAAACCCACAGAGAATCCAGACTTCCTCACTCAAATCCTGGGCTCTTATTTTCACTCTGTTGCTCTACTGAGAAATATTCTATTTTATAGTACGTCCTACCTGTACTTGAAAACTGTTCTCCCATGTAAAAAGCAGCAGCAGGTAAATAAGAAAGATGTATTGAAATAAATTGCTCTAGGCTCAGGAATTTCCTCTCAGATAATCTAAAACATTTGATCAACTGGAAAGCCATCTGTCTCTCTCTAAACGATGCATGAAGGATAATGAAAAATCAAAGTCGCCACCGGTTGGGTATGCGTGAGAAAGGAGACTAGCCCCGTACTTCCGATGAGATTGTCACTATTTGCTACAATCCTACACGGAGCTTCCTCATCTAGCACAAGCCGTAGGGGAGATGCTGATGAATTCTGCAAGTTTTAGCAAGAGCAGCAGTCAGCAGAAGGCCTTGGCAACAATGACAGCTTCAGTTCCCGCTCACAGACCTACCCTACCCCAGGAACTCATGCCGATGAGCCTCTTGGCTTTGTATTTGGCTGAGGTCATCATTCCCAAGCTAGTGAAAATGTTACTTAGCTGGACTATCAACAAGAAAGAAAAAAAGGAAGGGGTCAGTCCATGGTGTGGTAGTTAGGGCAGCGGGATCCCACATGGCTGACTCTTGGCCCTGTTGGTTTCGGAAACATGCTAGGCATATGTGCATGCATGTCCAAGGTCCCAAAGGAAGGGAGAGATGGAGGAGAAAGGACTGCAATGTGATCATGCCACATGGGATGGACTTGTTTGCCTTCTCTCTCTCTCTCTCTCTCTCTCCTACACATGCTCTCTAGCAAATTAAAAACAAAACAAACAAAGGAACAAATTGCTACATACTGACCACAGTTCTGTGTCTGCCTAATGTGAGCAGAGTAGACTAGCTACGTGTCCCCTTGCCTCTTCCTGCTATGGCTGCTAAGTTGTGACAGGGAAGGACAGAGGACACCACCAGCAGGAAGACAATCCTTCTCAAAGTTGTTCATAACCTGTATCTTTGAAAGTCCACTCATGAATCATAAACCTAATATTTCAGCAAAAACTCACAGACTCTCCAGGTGCCAATGCTGATTGCATTGCTAGGGAGACAAGAGCTCCCAACTGTGAAATGAGTTAAGCTTTGCCCAGACTAGAAGTCGGGTCTCCAACACACACACATGCGTAGCCACACGGCAAGTCTTCACCCAGGGTTGGTCCTCGGTGACCAGGCACCATTGTCATGCCTGTTTCACAGATGGGCCACCTGAGTGCTGTGTGACCTGCCTGGTTCTAGAGGCTGGCTCTTCACCGACACTCGGTCCCGCACCTCAGCAGCAGGCGGGAAAGCCAGACTGTGTGTGCATCCGCTCTGGCGCTCGCCAAATACGGGCTCTCTGCAATGAGGGGAGGGATTCCGATGATAGCTGTGATCTGATGAGGCTGGGGGATTCTGTTATGACGCCCACAGTCACCTTTCACACGACACCTCCTATTCCAACTGTACGTTCCTTCCAGGGATGATTTACTGAATCTCCTGAGGCATCATAAAGCTAGGAAAGTTGACTTGTATCTTAACCAAGTTTTCTCTTTACATTAGAAAAACAATTCTTTGGGGCAAGCAGGTATCATGGGGTCAAGGTGCTGGATTCCCACAGGGCCAAGATCTAGACCTGGCACCTTGAAAATTACATCACATGCATATGAGTATTGCCCCAGATCTCAGACATGAGGAGAAGGGACTGTGGTATGGCCATTCCCGCTGAGGGGTGACTTCTCATTTTCTTTTTCTCTGTCTCTCTCTGGTGAGTGCACGCATCCTACGACAAAAACCTTTAAAAAAATTCTTAGAGAGTTAAAATTGAAGCAACCTCACCATCAAAGGAAAGAGAAGGCTCATTACTGATTTATATCAAAGGAGAGGGAAATAAACTTCCTTTTACAATAAAATACGGCTCAGGGACAGAGCAGTGCATGCACAAATGAACTGGCTTCAGCCAGTGTGTCACCAGATGGCAGGAGGGGTGGTTGGGGATAGATCTCGGTTTCGAAACATGTCGTTGGCAAACCACAGAAAGTTCTGGCAATGTAAAAATACTTAGGTTAAAGATGCTACACCAATTAAAAAAATAAAATGTCTCCCGCACGGAAGAGGATATGAGTAGGAGGACAGAAAGCTCCTGGTGGCATTTATGTTGAGAGGAGAAACCAGAGCGGAAGTGACGCTGGTTGGATGGTGAGAAAAGTCAGGAACAGAGTGCCAGTGAGGGAGGACCTGTCTGTGGCCCTGGAAAGACAGCATTCAAGGCTGTTACGACATCCTTAGCTCGTCACTGTCACAGTGTGACAGCTCACATCCATGGCATAGGAACACATTCACTGAATACATTTAAATAATTTCCATTACAAAATTATTTCCATCACGCATCACGTTAACTGCCAGAGCCTACAAAAATCAAACCGATTTCGAATACTGATATTTCTTATGGCTACTTTAAAATGGTAAATGTTGTCAATTCAGCCCTCCCTTACCTGCCACACTATTCTCAAGGCTGAAAATGTGCAGGTGAGGTACAAAATTATAAACGTCCCCATCTCATGAGGCATCCAATATTTTTCCAATGTAATGACAATGTAAAATGGACCTTCTGAAAGATGTTATATCAAGTGAAATGAAACAAAAATTAATTTCCAATCGATTGGAAAAGTGAAATAAACATACAAATCACTTTCTCTCTTAGAGCTCATTCACTGAATACTGATGAACTCCACTCAGGGCTGAAACATACTCCACTCCCTCTAAAAATAACTATTCTTGGGCCAGCTGGAGGCATGGTGATTAAGGTGGCTGGAGCCAATAGGGCCAACTATGTGGTTCGAGTCCTGGATCCAGAGCCTCAGAAACATGCTGAGCATGTGGGAATGTGTGCCAAAATCCTGCAAGGAGGGAGAAACGGAGAAGGGACTGTGGTGTAACCAACCCCCATAGGAGGGTGCTTTTTCACTTCCCTCCTCTTTCTCTGCCTCTTCCCAGCAAGCATACACACCTTCTGGCAAAATCTAAAAATAAAACCAAAAACCAAAACCTAACAACTGAAAAAAAAAATCCCCTTTAAATAAGAAGACAAGGGTGCGCCAAGTTCATGCAGTGGTACGCTGCCACTGAGTGTGGGTGCCGCTGGATTTGAAGCTGGGGAATGTTCCCACAGCCCCAAGGTCCCTGGCATCTCCCCAGGTTCCGTATGCAAATGGGGCTGGGGTGGCCAGCAAGCACTGACGTGGACACCAGGCTTAGCTGTCAACACAAAAAACACAAGGCTCAATTTCTCAAAGAACACATCATTTGAAAACCCACAAGGTTCTTCTCTTTAGGCTATAACTATACTTGAAGGATGTGATCCAATCTTCCCACACACTGAGGACCACACCTCCTGCTCCTTTCTAGGCAGTGGTGGCAGTGACAGCAAGGCCAGGGCAGTGTGAACTTCACCCAGAAGCTGACAGGGAACGAGAAAAGCACCAGCAACAAGGAGGGAGGCCCACAGTCTAGCTGGGTCACAGGGCTCATTAGGAAAGGTCTAAGGATTGGTGATCCCAAGGCACAATGACCCCCACGAAATACCAGAGCTACGTCTCAAGGCAGTGGATTTTAAGCTGGGAGTCACAACCAAA